ATGGCTCGCAGTCGTACCTAACCTCTGGGGGTCCTCAATAGCGAGGCTATTAAAATCACCGCCGCCGCCTACCTCCTTATCTCTAAACACAAAACACCGTGGGAATCATGAATATGAACCTTCGCATATCAAGCGAATCAAGCGAACAAGCAGAACAACTCCTTTTCTTCATGACACCATTTCTAATTCGCGCCCTTCTCTTTCACGTAAAGCAAAATGCCTTTCAAGAAACGAAACGAGCCCACCCACCTCACATTGTCGGCATTTCACAGACAGCCGTGGTCACACACATACCCGACTCAAACAGAACACGGCTTCTCGGACAAGCAATATCTCTCTCTTTAAGTACCCGTACTCATTTATTCTTTGTTCTCCTCGAGGGGTGTCGTCGTGCCATTGGACCTGGACATGCTGTAAGGAGCCTGCGCGATTTCGCAATTAGTTTCGAGGTTTTGGTTCAAGGAAATATTGCTATCCAGCGGGCTATTTGATACCTACCAGTACTTTCTTGGCGTTGCATATTCTCCAGGCGAGGTTTCGGACATTGCCATCCGATTTGACAACCTCGGGTGCTAATTCGATACCAAACCTAGATGGCGGGTTAGCAAATGATACATCAGTGGTTAGGAGGATGCAAATCCAAAGTTTGTAGGGATGGGGGACTCACATCTGATGAATAGCAAACACAACACGCTTCGCAAACTTGCCATCCCGTTCTACAAGACCGCCAAACTGCTCATCCACGGTCTCGGGAGCGATTTCAGGATCCCGGTCGAAGCAGTTTCGAACAACAGGTAACAAAGCATTCTCAACGGCAGTCTCCGAGATGGATTCTGCGTCCACGACGGTGTCATCTTCGTTTGAGCGACGGATGCGGATCTCGAAGGGTCGCGAGATGGCCATGACATTGTGCATGCCATTGTGGTGGTAGCGGAGCTCGAAGACGCCTTGCGTCCAGAAGAGCTTGTCGCCGGAAAGAACAATCTCGCCAGAGGCGAACTCACGGGCGTCCTTGTCGTTGCTCTGAGAGGATTGGATGACAACATCGCTCGTCAGAATGCCCTTTTCACAGGTCAGGTTGTCATATGAACCCTCGTTAGTTGCGACCCAGCGGCCTTGCGATGATACACGGGTCACCTCGCGAGAGGTGTTGTCTGTGACGCGGTAGATACCAATCCAGTCCTTCTTGCTGTGGTTGAGAGGGGCAGTCCATTTGACCTTGATTGGGGAACCGTATTCGAAGGTCAGGTCCTTGAGGTCACCACGGCGGTCCAGGGGCATGCGAGCATTGGCACCCTCGCGGCCCTTATTCTTCTGGCTTTCCTCGAAAGACAAGGCATTGGTTCCTTCCACAGACAGAGAATAGTCGCGGGTATCGAATCCAGCCAGGTCCGCATCGATGCGGGAGATGGTGACACGAGCGGGATACTTCTGGAAGAGGGCTGTGGTATCTTTGACGAAGGTGTTCACTCCTGCAGCGAGCTTTGGCCGGGCGTTGTCGAGGAGCTCTTCGATGAAGTCGAAGGAGTCATCAAACATCTTGTCAACACTTCCGTGGAGCTGCTGGAGAGAGGGAGGCAGGGACCGCTTGAGGCTCTTGACGAGACCGGCATCCTGGCGAAGACTACGGCCGTATAGTTTCTGCATGTGCGGCCGTTCCACGAATTGGATGAAAGCCATGCTCAGAATGTGGCTCAACAGAGCGAGGAAGGTGACAGCTCCGCTGCTGGTGATAAGGACGGCGCCCCATACACCTGCCAGACCGAGGACGCGCTCGGGATTGTTGAGGAAGCGGTAGATACCGTTGTAGGTAAGCTTAGGGGACTCATCGAAGAAGAAGTCACCGAAGAACCAGCCGAATTCACCGAGGGACTCGTAGATGCTGACCGAAGTCCAGATTTGCAGACTAATCAGACCTGCTCCGAGAATGTGTCGGAACAAAACGAGACCGTAGCCCCAGTCAGCCGGGAAAGTGTACATCTTCCACACGGCAGCAATGAAAGTGGAGTAGCACAGAACCATGCTGAGATGATACGTACCCTTCCATTGGTTCCACGCTTCTTGTGGTGTGTCGCCATACTTGACAAAATGTCTGGTCCAAGATTTGGTGTTGGATTGGTTCCGCAAAAGATATCCAATGCCTAATGAGTACCAAATCCTGGAAGCAGTCGCAAGGGCCACAAACAGGAATTGATACTTCGGAGTGGATGGCGTCAAAGCCGTGATTGAGAATACAAGAATCTGGACGAGTAAGATCGAAGAATCCGTGGTTCTATACAGGTCCAGGTTGCGCAGCCCCAAGAGGTTGTGGACTGACTGGGGTGGCTTGGCCGAGTACGAGGAGGTCGCATTGGGAAGTTGATCTTCAGACGGGGTTGTCGCGTTTGGAGTGTCTAAATCAATCGGGAGCCTGGAGGCGGAGTCCACACAAGTAGAGCGCTTTCGGGGAGGTGGTGGGTTATAGGTCTTTTCGATGTGTGGGTTCTCCACGAGGACCAGGAAGGCGAATTGTGCTGCATGGGCAATGATAGAGATGAACAGCACTTTATAGCTGGCCGCCATCAGGGAGATTCCGTAATATCCCGCATAGCCGACCGAATACATTGGGTGAGGTGCCATTTCGAACACACCATCGAAAGTCAATTCTTGGTCAATGAGGTAGAAGAAATCACCCCAATACCAGGCATAATCCTTGACAACTCGATGGGCGTCTAATTTGACCCAGAGGTTGAACAGCACTAACACGATACCTGCAGACCAGCGAAGAATAGCCATGATCAAGCTCTCGTCCACGGGTTGGTGGCCACAAGCAATCGCGAAAAGGCAATAGGAAGTGAAATCACACATGAGAATCAAGTCCACAAGACGTCTAAAGACAAGCCAGGTGTTGTATTCAATTGGGGCATCGTCGAATGAGTAATCCTGCGGGATCTTGGTCTCCAGCTCTTTTTTGATCCAATTATACAATTTGGGGTGTGGGTTCTTCCCAGTGGCAGGATTGACAAAAACCTTGGTCTTCTCAGCCCACCGAAGCAACGTCTTATGATGCGACTGGTTGTGCAGCAGCCACCCTATTCCTCCATTGTAGGCCATGCGCCAGAAGAGGTAGGTGACCGCAAAGACCGGGATTTTCGCGCCCGCCGGGAGTGCCCAGAGAAACAGAATGTGTCCTGCTAGTAGGATTATTACCACGAGATCACCAAAGTTCTTTGGTTCCGACGGCGAAAGAAGCTGGGAGACCATGTCATGAGTCTGCGGGACGGTGAACACTGTATAGACACACCGGACTCGGTTAGCCACACGCTCTCGACAGCACTGGGAGGATTAAAAACAGGTAAAGCCTGCAGTCCAATCGCCAAGAGCATATTTCCAACATCAAAGGCTTACCTGTGCCATCGGGAGTTCTCCCAAAGGTCTTAAGCTCGTTGCCGGCTTTGTCTTTGGCCTCCGCTTCCCCAGTGGCAGTTAGAGCCTCGCGACCGACTGTTGAATCGGCGCGCACATTTCTCTCGCGTAGCCCATCAATATCTTGATGGGCCCCTGTTGAAAGGCCTCGATCCATGTTGAAAGATCTCAGAGAGAGTTGAGGAAACTGAGAGTGTTGAGACTGAAAGTGACGACAATAGCATGTGACATGTGACAGAACCGGATCTAGTTTAGTCAGTTGGCATGTGGCAATTCCTTCCGCCCTTGTTTACAATTTCTTTTCTTCTCTCAAATTGGGATTATTCTGCGGCGAGTCAGAGTATTTATAGGCGAAAAGAGAGTGGAACCATTGAGACGCCTGTTCTCCTACAGGAAGCGGGCCCCCGAATGGAGCGGAAGGGCACAGAAACGGGGTCTGATCAACCAAGACGCTAAGTGGCTTTAGCTTTGGGAATTGTTGGGACTGGTGTCTATTCCTGAACAGGACACGTTAGGGCTTAAGATGTGTCTTACACCAACTCGACAATGGCATTCCAGCACTATGACCGCGGGGTACATCACCATACAAGCGGCAACGGCGGAAGCCTGTGCAACTCGTGCCCTCTACAACTTCATAGATTGATTTAACCGTGTGTGCCCGAGCCATCCCCGCATACAACATGCATTCTGATCGGGTTCGTATACCCAATGAGGTGAACCACGCCCTGTGGGGTCCTTGACATCATCCTATCCGCATCCTGGAGTGGCGCTGATCGATATGCACACACGACAACACGACAGGCACCGTTGTTGTCAGTGCGTTAGAGACTCAAGATTGATAATGGTTACTCAAAATAGTGCCATTCTGCATCAGCAGCCTTTTGAAAAGCACTACAAAGACTCTATCATTATGCAGCCCATCCCTGGCGTCTTGTCTTACCCATACAAAGCACAACGTTATATGCCAATTATTTGTTGCACGAGGCTACGGTTTTTATCCTGCCGTGGGGCACTTAATCAAGATTCTGGCCCCTTGGTTAGGTTCTGACAGGGCCCTCTTGGCCCTGTCTTCTGCAGCATGTGGGCGTATAATGTAACTTGGCCAATAGTTAGGTGCATAGGAAACCTCTCGACCTGAGCAGGGGTCTACATATACATTAGCCACTACACGTAGGACACACTACGCATGCATCTCGTCTCCGAAATGTCGTGCTCGGCTACATGAGTTCAATTCGAATGCCGCATGAGTCTTTAGCTATAAAGCCTCAGGCAACATATCAGCACAGGATTGGCCAAATTAATCCGCCAATCACCTCATATATATATTCTTGCTTAGAATACTTTTTTAGAACACTTTGAACTATTTTGAATGAACATATTGATTCAACCTAGTGTGTATTAAATAACCAATTTGATGTAGACGTCTGTTGCTTGCTCCGACACCGCAGCAAGGCATGACCCCGCCAATCGTAGGGACATTTTAGTCATCCCCGCTTATCAAGCATCAATCCGCCACCGGACCTTGAATTTCTCTCCTACTGAATATCATCTGCCTATAATCTCTCTTGTTCAGATTACACATTGAGCATAGCATAATGGCACCCTTCGTGGAGGAGCCGGCCGAGGAATCTCTGGCTGTGTCGTCCAAGGTAGCGCCCAGCCTTGTCGCACCTGAACCAGGTACGTATACGCAGAATCTCGACTGAACCTACCTGCTAACATTACCCAGAGCACTGCCCAGGCCCCGAGTCCGAACAAGCCGGTCAAGGCGATGCTTGCGCCGGCTGTCCAAACCAACAAATCTGCGCGACCGCACCCAAAGGACCAGATCCCGATATTCCAATCATCACCGAGCGCCTCTCCCAGATTCGGCACAAGATCCTAGTTCTCTCCGGTAAGGGAGGAGTAGGAAAGTCAACATTCTCAACTCTGCTCTCGCACGGCTTCGCCTCAAACCCAGACTCAACGGTCGGCATCATGGACACCGATATCTGCGGACCCTCGATCCCAAAAATGATGGGCGTGGAATCAGAAACAATTCACGTCAGCAATGCGGGCTGGAGTCCAGTCTGGGTGACGGATAACCTCGGCGCAATGAGTGTGCAGTTCATGCTACCCAACCGGGATGACGCGGTCATCTGGCGCGGACCCAAGAAGAACGGACTCATCAAACAATTCCTTAAGGATGTGGACTGGGGCGAGCTCGACTACCTGATTGTCGATACCCCTCCTGGAACCTCCGACGAGCATCTGTCAGTCAACTCTCTTCTGAAAGAATCTGGCGTTGATGGCGCCGTCGTCGTGACTACCCCGCAGGAGGTCTCGTTGCTAGACGTGCGCAAAGAAGTCGACTTTTGTCGCAAGGCTGGCATCCGTGTCCTTGGGCTGGTCGAGAACATGTCCGGATTTGTTTGCCCCAACTGCACACATGAGTCTCAGATCTTCCGTGCGACGACTGGTGGAGGTCGCCGGCTGGCGAAGAAAATGGATATCCCTTTCCTAGGTGCTGTTCCTCTGGACCCCCGGGTCGGCATGGCGTGCGATTTTGGTGAGAGCTTTGTCGACAACTTCCCGGACAGTCCGGCGTCCAAGGCCATCAAGCGTGTCGTACGCGCGGTAGGCAAGGCTATCGGCGAGAACCCGGATGATGTCCTTCCAGAGGATATGATTGAATGAGGTGCTCTTTTTTTTTCGCGTATTTACACAGCGTGGTGCATATGGGTACGGCTTTTATCTTGGCGTTTGGATATAATTGCATAGAACATAATTTGATTGATACCATTGGACGAAATGGAATATGGACATGCAGATCCATTGTAACCAAAACTCTCCATAAACTGTTACTTTCCTCACTCTCCTCCCGGAATCAGTAGGCAGCATAGATCAAAGCCAATTGATCGATCTCGTCACCCGTCTGTCCGACGAAACCAACAACAGCAAACCCATCATCGGCAGTGAACGTCGTACAGCTATCAGTAGCAGTTCCAGCCTCCAGAGTATTACCCGCACTGGTAGTAGCCTTGATATAGAAGTTCCGAGTATGGCTGTCATACTGACCGGTGCAAAGCTCAGTCTTAGTCCAATACTCCCCAGGCCCAAGAGTAAGAGAAACTTCCGAACCCCCAGTGCCACCGTGAGCAAACTCAGTCCCATCAGCCAACTTCACAGCAACAGAATCAAGTCTCTCCGCACCACGGAAAGTAACAACAGAAGCCACAGGCGACGAAGGCAAACTAGGCAAATCACTAAACCAAGTCCCATGAGGACCGCCCGAGAACTGACTCTGCCGCACCGAACTAGAAAGCGACCAGGTAAAGTTCACCAGGATAGGATCATGGTCCGAAAGAACATCACCCAGGTAATCGGGGTTCGTGTTCGTGAATTTGTCGCCAACATAGGCGAAACTCTCCGCTCCCAGAGTGACAATATCAGAGCCTCTGTATAGGATCTTGTCCACAATCTCGCATGTCTCGACCGAAGATGGGTTATCGCACATCAGCGCATCGGCCCCGGCAGTCGGGTACACGCCGTTCTTTTCGAGATCAACCCACGGGTCTGCGAGGTCGTTTTGCGATTTGAAGACGCGCACGCCTGTGTCGTCGGCGCGAGTGTAGCGGCTGTTCGTATCACCCATTACGACGACTGCGTTGCCTGTTGACCAGGTGTCGATGTAGTCCGCTACTTGTTGGAGGTTGGAGTTGCGGGCTGTTTCGTCATCGGCTTCGGTGCTGCGGAGACAGTAAGTTTGTGTTGCTTCATAGTAATTTATGCTAGTTTTGGGGTTGGGTTTCACTTACCCAGCATCGGCATGGACGTTGTAGAAGTCGATGAACACGCCATCGGCAGGATTCCAGCGCATGAAGGTGAATCCCTTGGGAGTCAAGCAATCTGAGCCGGAAGCATCAGAGCACTTATTCCACTTGACGCGTGTGAAGTCAATCCAGTCGGAGTTGGAGATAGTGTTGAGACCACTTCCGATTGCTGCGCCTCCTGATGTTGCGGTGCGGTAGGCATGGTCATCTGTCTCATAGATGTAGGCATGATAATTGAAGTCCTGAAGGTAGGTTGGTTAATATCTACAAGACAAAGATAGAGAACATTGAGTCGTACTTCCTGCAAATGGATGATATCGTAGCCATATTCAGAGAAGTAGGTACCAATTTCCTGCGCATTCTCTGTTTTGGTGCCATTGACATCGTTTGATTGAAGGATCTCAGGCAGACCGGCGACATTGAAGGTCAGCGCGGTGAATTGACCGCTTGTTGCTGCGCTGGCCAATGCTGGGATAAAAGCGCTCAGGAGAATGGGCTTCATTTTTGCGACTCTAGCGTTTATGGTTACTATGGTGTCCCAGGGTGCGTCTCGTCCTTATATAGGCGAGTTGTAATCTACATAGTCGAAAGCTTCTAACCATACCTGGGTTATAGTTGACAAGGACTGCAGAAAACCCTCAGGAGCCAACCAGAAGAACAAGAAGAAAAAATGATCCGTCTTAATGTCACAGATCCAAGGAGAATGGCACCTGAGAACGTGGAGAAGAGGTTGAAAGGTGATTGGGGACTTAAGATGTGTCCTGGACGTTAGCCCTGTGGCATAGATTAAACTATCTAATAAGATTTTGAAGGGAGAACAGGCTTGAAGAATCCAACACGTGGTACAGTTTATGAGCCTTGAATAATAAAGCGACAAGAAGATTTATGCAGCCAAGAAGAAACGGTTCTCACGCTAAGGTATGATTGACAATGCCATTTCCCCATTCTGCCAAAGGCCCGCTTCGGTTAGATGCGTGAACAGGGGGACTCGGAACTTCGGAAAAATTAAATCTGCATTTGAATGCCATTGGAGTATTGGAGAAGCCATTACTGTGCCTTGTTTTGATCCCCTGAAAAGTGTTATACTGTAACGTTACGCAGGACATGTACATGTATACGTAGCTCGTGGGGGCCCTCCATAGGGTGTAGAAGTAAGATTATACTCCGCAAGACCTAGCTCTCTACTGTAAATGACTAAAAATAGAGATATGATATCATAAACGGTACCATAGTATATTGCATGGAAGGCTTAGCCAAGTAAAAGGGGCTACTAGCCCGAACTGGTCTAATATGATACATGGATGCGAAACACGGCTTCATATGAGCCGCCCATGCCGTCCCAGTATATCTTTGCCTTTTAAGACAATGTCTCCGTAGTATTTGTAGTCTGGATCAAGATCCGACGATAGCTCGTCAGGGGATGGTATCCATCATCCGCGACTTCAAGTATAAGATGGAGCAACCAGCAACCCGACGGGGTGAGGGCTTCCCCGTCGCAGCTCCGACTAGCTGCAGGAATTTGCACCTGTACCTGTCGGCCGCCATCCACTGAGCTGATATTTAATTGCGGCACCTGGCCTACAACATTCCAGTCACTAGACCCGGGCTCACGGTACTGGAACCAATTGTAAGTCAGACTGTCACCATCCGGATCCGATGTGGCCGCAGCATTGAACGTGATAGTCGATCCGGCAGCAGCACTAATCTTTAGCGGAGCAAGCTCAGCACTGCCGTTGACTGAGATGATAGGGTGATGATTCGCTTTGCTCATACTCGCCGGGAGAGACCACTGCATCCGAGCAGCGAAATCATTCTGGAAGGCATTTCTCCACCGCCAGACTGTCGCCCGGTTCGAGATGAAGGTTCCATTATTCTTCCCCACGACCCGGTCGGCCGCATCGCTGTAGTGGTTCAAATTCAGGACAGTCGACGGGTTGATCTTCATGTACCGCCCACCCCACGACCCATAGTCAGGCTCCTCAGGGACACCAAGTCCATTTTGAATGAGATACAGGAAGGTCGGGGTATCGCCTTCCATGATGTATTGGTAGTTCGGATAGGCCGCTTTGCCATAGTGACCAATCTGAATATTCTTGCGCAACCAGTCGTGCGAAACTTTGGAGAAATCAGGTCCGCCTTGATCTTCGCCGTAGTAATTTTCTCCAGAGATACCAGTCCAGGCCGCAAGTCCATATTGGTTCCAGCCGTGTGTCGAGGAGATGTAGAGAATGTCTGGGAATTGCTGCCGGATCCATGCGCCGGTATCGTCTTGGTCTGAGACGGCGTAGACGCGAATTCGGGACCGCAAGGCTGAAGCTTCGGTCGCTGAGTATGTGTCGTGGATTTTGTAGAGGACTTGCGCAAGCACGTTGGTTCCTCCCCAGGCGAGAACCCACAGGGGTTGATCGGATTCTTCTTGGAGGCGCTCAAGGAGTAGCTTTCCTCCGTCGCTCAGGGCCACATCCTTGCCCACAGCGGTCATACCATAGCTCTACAGCTTTCGTTAGAGCGTTGCTGAGTGTGGTCCATACATGAACTTACGGTGGCACCTTTGCGCACAAGGCTGCGCATGTGCTTCCCGGATGGATAATGGGAGTCGAGAGGTACATGACGGTTCAGATTATCGGTGATATTCGCATATGCATCGATAATCGACAGCATTTGCTCTGGGTGGACTTCATTCTTCAGCCATGTGGATGTCACGGCCACAATGCCTTCGGTGTGAAACTGATTGGAATAGAGAAGATATCTGGTCAAGGACTCGGCATCATCGGGTTCGTTTGAGATGTCCGAGAGGATGAAAACTCGTGACTTGTTGGGGATTGCCAAGAAAGAGCTGGTGTTTACAGCTTTGGCAAGGGTTTGGACTGTGAATGTCCACAGCACCAGAAATGTAGTAAGGGAAAGCATGGTGTACTCATTGACTGAAGCATATTTCTGGGTTTAACTGAGCTTTTATGATTTATACTACGGGTAAACTTCCGACATGAAGAGAACTATCGTCATTCCCCGCGTTCTGTAGTGGTTAAGCCTACCCGATAAAGCTGTTGTTCCTCAAACAGGAACTCGCAACCACCAATCTGCCGATCAATCTGCAGATCACCTGCCGCTTAGCCTAAATTATGACTACTTGCTCCATCTAGAGCCATTTAATAAAAGAGAGTACCTTATTCTGCCCAGGAGAGGTCTGTATTATTTTTTCATGAGATGATATTGATGAGGGCATACTCTCCTGCTGCATCTATCCCCTGATAAGACTCAATGTTGTATCTAAGCTATTTTAATGATTGTACTCTTCGTTGGGCTACTCCAATAACTACTAGTGTTAATTTCTTCATAGTCTCTTTCGGCCTATTTCTTTATCAACCGACAATTCTATTGAGATTTACTGTCCGCATGAAAGAGTAAGAGGATGCGCCTGCTTGGAAAGTGAATATCGACACAGGTCTTTTGACTACCTGCAGTATTCAACTTCATTGCAATCGATGCTATGTCACGTGGGCGACAACTTGGTAGAGTTGGACTTATGGCCAAACATCTCCCGAAGATGATTTCAATCTGCAAGACAAGGGCATCCGGTATTTTGGATACGAGCCTCTTGTGTATGGCGAGAGTCCGGTCAGCCACCTCCCGCCAGTGTATAACATGATCCGTAATCGCAAATCCCTTCTCATTATGCCACTTAAACCCTCTGACCGGACAAAGCTTTCCATCTTGCTTCCTCACCTCCCCATCTACCAGCACAGTGTCGATATCACGTACGCTCGAGTGCAAAACAATGGCCATGACCGGATCCCGTTGGGCGACACACACCATAGCTGGGCTGAAAACATCAAACACTACCAGGTCTGCCTTTTTGCCCACTTTGATGCTACCGATGTCATTCTCCATTCCAAGTGCACGCGCGCCCTGAACGGTCCCCAAGTTAAACGCATCGACCGTCTTGTGAGAAACTTCTCGCCGCCACTGGCTGTTTCGTATGTGAGTGTCACTCTCCAAACCCCTTGCAGTCTGCAATGCTTGGCGCATCTCATTTACCATGCTCCCGCTTGTCGCAGAATGACAATCGACACCGATAGAGCAAATTTATCACGCATGCCGCCGAGAGTCAAAGGATAACAGGACCATAGATGAAATTCACAGATTGTGAAGCAATGAGCCGATGGGTGGCACCCCTTTCAAATCACTACAAATTCTTGAATAAGCAAAGCTGGAGGAATCAAAACAACAAATAACATGCTTTATAGTAAAAATTCACCAAGAAAATCCCTAAAAGTCTAAGGGCTTCATCAGCTGCACAATTTCATCAGCAACGCGGTGCTGGCACGTTGGGTCGCTGAGTAGCGCATAACTAAGTATGCCCATAGCTTCCTCAAGGTATTCGCATTTCTGAGGGAATACCTCATTCCAATAGCCAGGGGGTTTCGAGGTGACGATGGGATGGTTGGGAAAGTACACACAAACATCATCTCCAAGCATTTTGAGCTTATGTGTTCTTTTAGCAAGTACAATTAGCGCATCGCTTACCTGGGGCCCAGAGCCTGGGCAATGATGCAAAACTGTGATTTGCGCATCAAGGGTTAGCAGGAAGTCTTCACACGCTTGCTCGTAGTTTGGGATGAGTCGTTCTGTCCAACCTGGAGCGGAACTGTCCCACCAAGCCATGGTTGCAAGTACCTAGATCACTTTACTGTAGATTATAGGTACTGGGAATTGTAACAGTGCAGAGACCGATATCTGCATGAGCACTCGAGGTGGTTTGATCGGGCCTATTTATGTGTTTCCACCGGGGAATTGCTAGGATTAAATTTGACCAAGGTTAACAAACCAACAAAGAATGGATAAGTAACAAGTTGCAAGAGACATGGATTTATCTCTATCTCCTTTGTGCTCGTGAACAATAGTTTTTAGGACAACCACTATGTTCTTTATCGGGCAAGGAATGCGATTGGCCGTATTTGGCCCTGGGACAACTTTGAAATCACTAAGGAAGAATGAACCACACAGATAAAACAATCCATTGAAATTCTAACACATCTGCATCTCTGCAGAGAGTGTAGGCTCTCGGAAAATTATCTAGTCCAACTTAGGTGCACACGTCTCGGACAGTATAGTATGTACATGTCAGCTAATGCCATCCTTGTCACTCAGTTACCCCATGAATTTCCGACAGTGAACGAGCCATGCTGACGAATATCACGACTGGAACTACCAACGTAAATGCTGAATTTGCCGGTAGGGACAACCCATTTCTGCGTCGTCACATCCCAGTAACTGAGATCACGCCGGGTGAGCTCGAAAATGGCTCTGCTCGATTGTTTCGGCTCAAGCCTGAGTTTCTGGAACCCGCGAAGTTGCTTGGGCGGAGTACTCGGTGCCGAGTTTGGCAGGCCGATGTAAAGCTGTGCAATCTCAGCACCAGCTACCTTACCTGTATTGCGCACAGTAGTAGAAATTGTGCCGACAGACTTGAATAGATCTGCTGGGCCTCCCGGAATGACCTTGCCAGTTGACGGTCCCGCTCTGGCGTGTACATCAACTGCAATTCCGGTGTAGTCAAACTTTGTGTAAGACAAGCCGTATCCAAACTCGTAGCGAGGAGTGATCCCATTCTGGTCGAAATGACGGTAGTCAATGAACAGGCCCTCAGTGAAGTCATCAACTTGTGCGTCATTCCAGGTTGCTCCGTAGTCTCCGGCGGCTTTGGCGATCGTGTAAGGAAGCTTGCCGCTTGGGGAGACGGTTCCGTACAGCACGTCTACCAACGCATTTCCGCTTTCCTGGCCTGGTAGTCCTGCCCAGACAATTGCCTTCACGGACGGCAGTGCCAGGATTGTCTCCAGTGTCACTGGACCAACACTGTGGACAACAACGATTACATGTTTGTTGACAGCTGCGACAGACTTGACGAGCTCATTTCCATTGTGCCAAGGGTCAAGGTTGTTTCTGTCTCCGGCATTGCCCTCAACTGTGATGTACCTGTAATTTAAGTTAATAAAAATGGCATCGCTGGTCAAAGATATGGACTAGCTCACCCTTCACCTGCATCTGAATTGATGAAGACCACGGCAGTCTCGGCCGCAGCTGCAGCGGAGGCTGCATCGGAAGTGCTATCGGTGGTGCTCTGAATAATCTTTGTGCCGTCCTTCTTGGCCTGAACTTGAATTGCATCGAGAGGCGCGACGAGATACTAGACCAGTGTCGTTAGCAAGTCAGGGGTCTTTCATGTCCGAACGATTTGAAACATACCGGGAACTGCGCGGTGCCACTGCCCCATCCCATAGCTAATGTGCCGTTGTTGCAGCCTCGATCACTGCATGCGTTGGGTCCATCCGGGTTAACAGCAGCATCCTCTCCAATGATGGCCAGGCTCTTGGGTCGTCGAAGGGGTAGAGCGTCGCCCGCATTTTTTAAAAGAACGATAGAGTCACGGGCGACAGTGCGAACAACGCTGGCATGATCCCCCGTCACATCAACAGTCGCTTTGCCACCATCCCAGGAGCTAAACGAGACCTTTGGGTAGCCCTGGTCCTGGCCAAGGAGATACCAAGCAGCCAAAATACGAGTAACCATGTTGTCGAGGCGGGCTTGTGGGACCGAGCCGTCGGCCACAGCTTTGGCTAGATTTGATCCCCAGAAGATGCTGCCGGGTGGAGAGTTGAAGTCACTGCCAGGCATGGTCATGTCAAGACCGACTAATGCGCTATTGACGGTACTGTGCTGCGCATTCCAGTCGCTTACCACATATCCAGGGAATCCGAGCTCCTTCTTCATGAGCTCATTTAGGATGGCATCGCTCTCGCAGGCCCAGGTCTCGTTGACCTTGTTATAAGAGCACATCACTGACGCGACATTGGCCTTGACAGCGTTCATAAACGGCCATACGTATAGCTCGTGCGCGGCCCGATCACCAATGTTGGAGCTAATGGTATCCCGGTTATGCTCTTGCTCGTTGCCAAGCCAGTGCTACATAACATGTCAGAGCAAGGTTAATCGAAAGACACGTAGGATCACAAACCTTGGCACAGGCTTGAACACCCGAGTCCTGCATGCCTTGGATTGTCTCTTCCATGGCGACACCACTGAGATACGGGTCAACCGAGAATCCTTCCCAGTTTCTACCACCATTGGGATTCTTGCCCAGAGGTCCAGCTACTGGACCTAGTTGCACATGGACACCGAGACCTTTCGCCTCTGCGCCCATCGCAGCACCGCGTGCATACAGAAGACTACGGTCCCATGTTGCCCCTGCGTTGATCCCTGCCGGGAATGCTGTTACCGGGTTGGCAAAGCGAATACCCAAAGGAGAGTCTTGGAGGCACAAAGAAGGATAGTCAATTGAGCTGGGAGCATAGGTATTGCCCACGCAAGGCCCTCCCTCCCAGGTCACGCCGGTGACAATGCCAACTTTCTCAGTCTGGTTCAGCTTTTGCAGAGCTGCTCTGGCTCTTGAGTAAGCTGAATCCCAGCCAGCACTTCCCGAACCATAGGCGTGAACGGTGGCGCTTAAAGCTAGCGCTGAGAAAAGGAGATGTTGCATGGTTCTCGTCGCTGTCGAAGACACCCTAGACAAATTTCCCCTCGGACGCGCGGATTTGGCCCTTTTAAACCCCTTTCATGAGAATGCGCTTAAATTCCTCACGGACAAACCCCCTCATTTCAGTCCTCCATGGCGTTCTGGCCGCCATGCTGGGTGCCAGACTGGATTTGAATACATGAAAGTGGGCAAACGGGCCGGCCACTGTACTGAATCAGGAAGCACAAACTAATCTCCGCGTTGGGGGTGGCACCCCTGGACAGCTGCGTTACACTGGGGTATGAGAGGAAATAGGGTTAGCTCTCCGATGGCGCTCTCGGGCCCTGTCGAAGCCCCTTGTTGATTGGGTGGCGGAACTTCGGAATGTAGACAACAAAAGTGACTTCGGCCATTCGACGTAGCGTGAGAATAGTTCTCTTTTGCCGTTAGATTCTGCAACCCTGCACGGCTTATACCCCGCGTTTTGCTGTTAATTGCCGATACTCCGCGTAGCTTGGCATCGTCCCGTCCCTGTCTGTTTCCATCGTTATTGGTCTTAACTGGAGCGAACCCAATGGGGTCCTGCACTAAGCAAAAAGACATCCATCGGCTTTTTTGATCAAGCAATCAGAGTCTAAGCTCCTGCCATGTGCACCCCTCGCCAGGTATCGCATGTAACAGTTTTGTGGACGTGGGGGTTGTATTCTGTCCAGGAACTTTGATACTCTCGTCGCTCTTGGCCTTCTACTATTTAATACGTGTATATACCAGGAGAAGCCACGACGGGAGTTTACTTCTCAAATGAATTGTGACACCTCACAGAAATGGTATAAGTAATTCAATATATTCATTTTGTAAACAGTTCAATATAAATATAAAAATAAAGTTAAGACACGCCCAAAAGGATGTGACTTAAGTCAAATATCCTGGGCGTGTCCAATTAGATGGAACCCAACCCTGCAGCTGCCGGCAGGGCAATTGGATCAGGAACATTAGGCTCAATCTCAAATCGAATCTGGGCTGAGCCGTTGTAGGACCAAACAACAATTTGGGTGACGCACATAGTACCTCGAGTAAAAGCCGCTAGAATAAGAGCAGCAACTCCTTTGCCCAAAACTTAGTGCCGAGGAGTTCCTGATATTCGATGCTACCGTGTCGGAACTTCTTACAGGGCACCTCCCAGGCGTCTGACCACAAAGTCCCTTTTCTAGGGTAGAGTACTTCCTCTATATATGGTGCGAGCCCTTCGTTTATAACATTTGTAAACATGACATGCCTCAGAGTATCAATGCTGTAGTCGTTTGTATATAAAGCCTGAGCGATAACGTTCCAATGCTGACCACCTTTTTTTCAAATACTTTTGCCAATGATGATTCCCCGTCCAATAAGATGTTCATAACTGCTCCACGCATTTTCATTTTCTGGTTGATCCGCGTAAACGTGAAACCGCCGAAGGCTCGTATAGCGATACTGATCCTCACCTCGGGGTATATTTGTGCTCGAGGGGTCGCCGCCTTGGAGTTCCACGGGATCGTCCGCGGCCATGTCGTATTCCTTGTGCCAACTTTCTCAAGCTCGTCTAGGGTTAGCCATGAGCGACCAATCGGACAATCCGGCTTGTTTGGGTCATCAATCCAAGCTTGGAAATTGGCGCCTAATTCTCGATACTTGGCAATCTTCTCTTTGGTCGGCTTGCGAGGAACCGGACAATGAGAGTCCGGCCGAAGAGCTTCCGGCTGAGGAGTCGGACTAGGAGAGTCCGGCCGAGGAGCTTTCGGCCGAGGCGACCCCTCACGGGAGGTACCAGGACTCCAGCTCCAGTAAGGGACCTGATCTCTACTGGAGCTGGCTATCGGTAATGGAGAACGGTGGACGGGGGATGGTGGGTTGGAGCGCGCGCGCTTACTCGGTCTGCTCAACCCAGAGCCCCCGCTGTGTGAAGAGGAACCCTGCTGTCCCTCGACATATTCGGGGTCTTCCTCCTCCTGTAAGCACCAACGCTTCCTCTTCGAGCTAATACTTGGCCTTGGGCTGTTACCGCCTTCTTGAGGATCTTTCCCATTGTCCTCGTCCATGGGATCAGCTTGATTGTTGGATCCTCTTCCACTGAGGTTAGCTTCATTCACCGCATGCGTGAGGCCTGTGGAGGAAGTATTTGATGAAGTTCTTGAAGGGGGAAGAGGTGGGTAATTCTCTCCCTCCTCGTTCTCCTCGGTTTGCTGGTTCTCTTCTGTTTGCTAGTTCTCCTGGTTCACCTGCCCTTCTCCGTTGTCCTGAGGACCAACATTCTGCAAAATGGCTTGACGCTGGCCATTATCTTGATTCTGATGTGTCGATTGACTTGGGCGGTTAGATTGGGATAGGCCTTCGGTATTAGCTTCTTCATCATCACAGTTGCACATGCGTCCCAAGCGCCCCAAGCACTTCACCTTGCCGCAAAACTTCTTGAACATTTTGGCGATGATCAGTTATATTGCTTGTATATTATTCAAACAAATAAAAAAAGAGATGAAACAAAGTTATGGCGTTGGTATAATGTGACAAAGTAGCTTCTGTGTTGGAAAACGACCAGAATGAGGCAACTTGTATAAAACTGGAACAGTGCAATCTTGCTTAACTTGGTTTCCTTTGCCAGAGAAAAAAGCAAAACGAAAATAGGAACACTAATTATAAGAATAAATTGAGATCGTAACAAAGCCTCGAACAATGAAGACAACAATAACTATACGAAAGTAGCTCGAGGTCCAGATAAAGAGGCTGAAACACGGGTAGGTTGGAGAGTAAATGACATTGATGGTAGGTACACAAATGAGTTTAACGTTATTTAAGGGTAAAAGATATTCCAAGAATCGCAAAATATCATATCCATGAGCTAACAAGGACAAAGAACACACTCTCATCAGGCTTCTCGAGCAGTCCATTTCTCGCTATGGTGACCATTGCCTATTTCTTGCAAGCTCTCCATTTTGGCGGGCTGGGGTTGAGCATTCATGTAACTGGAGTATTTATGTTCAATGATTTTTTTTTTTCGTCCTGTTTCTTTGTGAGGTAGACGGAGCGTAGAGATCACACTATATACCGGGGTGCTGTGTGGCACCATGATACCATGACAAGTCGAAAAGGAGAGGGAGGTACACTTTCGCCGCCCAATCATATTTCAAATTACCATTCAAGGTAGACTGCAATTCAAGCATGCAAGATAATTGGGGACATGGATGAGTCTGCTATGCCTGGAGGGATCAAATTCTCACGTTTGGACCATCAAAAGTAAGGCATAATCAGGCCTTTATAATCCCCACCACCTCAAACAAAGAATCGACCACAAAATCCGCCCCCAATTCCTGACAAGCCTCCCGATCTCCGTACCCATACCGACACCAGCAAACCTTACTCCCAATATTTCTTGCGAACTGAATATCTGCCACCGTATCACCCACCACTAGCACTTTCTCCGGCTCAAGCTGCCCCGCCCCATATCTCTCGCGTAAGACGGGGGCCAAAACATCCACGAAACTGGCAGGATCCGGCTTGCGCTTAGCCCCGGGGGTCTTATCGCCAATAATTAAATCTTCAGGCACATAGCCAGCTAGATTATTCCGCTCAAGGGCAGTTTTCACCGCTGCTACCCCCTTGTTGCTCACGATTGCGATAGGGACCTTATGGGAGTTGAGCTCAGTAAGAAGATCCTTGGCGCCAGGGAAGGCTTTGATAAGTGATTGACCGTGGGTGGAATAGAGGGCGCGATATTTTTCAATCCATTCGTCCTCGTCGGTCGGCGTATATTCGTCGGGTGACGGATGCAGAGTCTTGAAGGTGTCTGCCAAACCGGCACCGCTGGCGATAAGACGGTAAATCTCAGCTTCGAGAGGAATCTGGGTGGGAAGGAGGGCTTCGAAGGTGAGTTTGATGGTTTGGGAAATAGATTCATGTGTATCGAAGAGAGTGCCGTCGAAGTCGAAGATAGCGAGGGATATCATCTCGAGGGGTGAGTAGATCTAAGGTAGTAGAATGGACATTATAATTTTGAAAAGAGTTGATGTAGATCAAAAGTAGCGCTAGAATGGCCAACGACCAAGTTAGATTGAGTCAGATCCTTTAATAATCTTGGCTACAATCGGTAGCGACGGATCTTTCATGGTTAGTGACGTGGCTTATGCAGCTAAAGTGCTGATGTTACACTCAGACAAGTAGTTTGCGCGCTTAAACGCCGCCACTGGCTTTGAGATAGGGAAAACTAGAAGGACCCCGCCATTTGCAAAACGTCTTAGGGAAGACGTAGTATTTGATTTATTAACGTCTACGGTGTAGTTACGCCAGTTGACAAGATGAAGAAGTGAAGGAATCAAGCCAATCCCCTAAGGTGGGCATGTTGAACAAGCCGGTAATTGTTGGGAAGACTCTCGTAGTACTCATAGAATAGGAGTTTAAGACCATGAAATATGATTGCCCAGCATCGCCCGAACTTCGTGTTTGACTCTTCAAGAAAATTTCGGAAATTTCCAAGTTGTTCTATAGCAGCCGAAAGATCTGCTTTTTTCGTTGTCTCGGCTACGGTATGATCAATCATATTTTGGTCGCCTGCAAGACGTCGTTGTACCCGAAGAAAGAATAATCTGCGAAGCTGTTTTGATTTTGTCTCGGCGCGACAATCCAACTGTTGAAAATATGGAAGTGCAAGCTCAAAATTGAGTTTGCAATCAGTTTCTACTAGCTCAGTGACTTCTTGGAATACCGACAAAGTCGGATAGGCGGCCATTGCTTGGAGGACGCTATTTCACGGTCAGCCACTGGCCTAGCTAGTACTACAGAGGCTCAAGGAATGGCTACCAATCATACTTTGAGTAAAATAACTGGGCAATATAGCAGAAGAACAAGTGGTGTTGGAAATGAATACGTGGACATTGAGCAGATAGAAGGTCTGGGAGCCTGGATTATATAGCCCCATGAGGAATGGGAAGGGCGCTACTACCCCATTTTAAAAGCCGCGAAAGCACCAAACTGCTTTTAATGCATTTGACTTCAGCCTCTCTCGTCCAGTAGATATAGTTGTTAGCGCTTGCAAAACCTAAGAATCAGGTGCTCTAGGTCCGTGATGTACCAATCTACATGCACTGGTTCGCCGGTCCCTAGACTGCAAACTGCACAGCCTACTGTTTTGTTTAGCTGTTAATCATATCGCTTTGCGTGTCAGATCTATAGGCCATAATTTTGTTGTAAGTTTCTGGAAGACATCACATGGATATTCAACGGTTTAGGGATTGTATCCAGTAAACGGTTATTTAAGAGGGAGCGGCCGGGCTTATATAGATATAGCGTAAAGTTTAATACAGCAAGAAAGCACAGTTCTTACAGCAATAGACATAATCCTGTGGAACAGAGGGCAGTAAGACACCATTTTATTCCCAGTACTAATATAAATTGGTATGTGTTCAAGTCGAGCTAACAGGCGATCACTTGTGGGGTTATCTCGTTTCTTTTCCACTATTTCTTTTCTGAGTAGCTTAATTCATAAATATAATATGTAAGTGTGCTCCCCATTGAAGCGCCATCAGAATTCAAACTCTAACAGTGACTGGAAAGCTCCTGCTTCTGCCCCAGACGTGACACCAACGAGGCGGAACCTAGAGCTAGCCGCCTCGAACAGCCGAACAAAATCACCGATAGTCCGTTCGCGAGCAATATGAGCTGCCAGCATGAACTGATCCTCAATTCTGGGCAGATGTTAGTCCCATTATCAATGTCGCAAGAACCGCACCTTACAAAATCATTTTATCTGTCAGTGCGTTCAGCCTCTTAGCAGGCGGGTCCAGCAAGATTCCCTCGCTAATGAAAACTATTGCACCCGGCTTTAGGGCCGGGATTAGTGCTTTAGTTATAGAAATCGAGTCATCGTCATTCCAGTCGTGGAGGATGTGGCGGAAAATATAGCGTGTGTGACAAGATAAGATTTGCAAGCGGAGACATTATAAATCAAGTTCCTACTGGACTGGAATGCGCAATTTCTTTGTTGTAAGATGCGCTTTCTGAAGCTGCGCATTCTTGTATAAATGAGGATACCGTGAAAATCAGGCTATGCCAAGTTTTGAGGCTATGGAGCATTTGCGAGGGTCTGTCCAATAGAGAGCTACAAGGGGTCCCACCAGGCTACGTTCCCGCTAGTTACCCGTCCCGCCTGCGCTTGGCCGGTCGGAGCAATTTCTGTCCGAGGGCCAGAATACGAGGTCAAATCGCCCTGACAACGCTAGCGAAATCTCATGCAGGGTCTAGTGAGTCCCCTCTGCTTGTTCACGCCACACCTTTTTGCTTATATGGCTTTTAATCTGGTTGACCAAACATAATATTCCATTATATACATCTGGCTTCTGAGAAAAAAAAGTTATTACGAACGAACTTGGGCATATCATTTAATAACATCTATAACAAGCGGTGACATAACTAGTTATATGACGGTTTCATCAATTGTGAATAATGTTCCGAATAGATACCTCTGTATCCACCACAAGCTTTTCTAAATCCTCTAGAACAAAGTGAATCGGCCTTTTCTCGGGGGCGAGGGTCGCAAAAGGGCTTTCATGCACTCGCTTGATATAGTTCATGATGGACTCATGAGTCCACTTGATTTTACTCAAGGTGCGAGCAATCAGCACATCCGTCAAAAATGCCTGCTCATCCTGCGGGATTTCAAAGCTGCCCACACGGATGGTGTTGGAAGTCAAGCCATATGATTCACGATGGAGTCCTTCCACACCCACTTGATCATAAATACTGCATCGATTACTCGTAGCATTAGAGCTTCCACTCGAAGGTAGATGTCCTGCATTTGACGATTGCTGCTTTGAGATAAAAGACTGCAACTGTCGCAGGATATGCCGGAGACTCATCGCAAGTATAAGCACAGCAACTGAGTCACGATCACATCGGCAATTAGAACAATGTGATAGGCTTTCCCATAATGCCTTGCTATCTTGCGTAGCTTGTATAATAATAGAGACGGGCGTCAGAGGGTATCTGCCCTCTATCTTCTTTATCTCGGATAGGAACCTTGTCTGATAGTCAAGACAGGAACAGCTATCAAAGAATAGTTCCCTCCTGTCTCCAAAAGGATCTCGTGGCTGGAAATCACCAGACACGGCAGCTACAGGCTGCTGCGAGACACTATGTCCTATTTCGAGGAAGGATAGGTCGACCCCTTGCACAGCACAATTGAATTCACTATCGGACTGCTGGTTACATGTAAATGAATCATCGCGTTAGTAATCCATAACATTCAGAGTAAACTCAAGTGTGCATTCCATATTGTAAAACTTACCAGTGGCATGAGAGATGCTCCCAATCCGTCGAACAAGTCACCCGACTCTTGCCAAGACTTATCGGACCTGGCTGTTGATGTAAGATTTACCCCATCGCTTGGATTTGTAACCCCGTTTCCGTTGAAAAGGTCGCCACGGCCATCTCCTGTCAATTGTATGGTTGTGCCGAATCTCATTTGAATATCTTGTGAAGTGATACTGTCCCTCGATATTCTCTCCTCGTTGAAGCCACCTGGTTTGCATTTCTTTGTAGAGACTACCTGGATTAGATCGTCCCTTTGTCGGGTCCACTGTTGTTGGGTCTTTCTGTTCCTGGAGCCTTTGGGTCTTCCAAGTCGTTTTGGCCTACTGTATAGGCACGTCTGTTTTGATCGTGCGCAGCCAGTGCAAGGATATCCGCCAGAGCACTTCATTTTCATCCCATGGCATGCATCACAGGCCGACCGAACCTTTCGCTGACTCTTATTTTCCATCTCCGAGAGTGTTCTGAGATTTTCATCGAGCGGCGGTGAAGGTGAGAAAATACAACCTTACCAGACCAGAATAAATAGCTTTAGCGTTTTGGTATTCACTATTTCTCCTTTACTCGCAGTCGTGTAACCCTGTCTATTCTACGAATCAAATTTGCATGCCATAGCCTGCAAGGAAGCCCTGTAAGCTCCTTTAGAATACGAAGATAAGCATCGCACTGGGTATGTGGCTCAACGTTACATCCAGAGTTAAAAAGGCGGAGCTTGTCCTTAGTATGTGAAGTGATCTAGGTTGCAAGTGTGTTCACTTTCCGCCTATCTGAGATCAGGTTAGCCTTATTCTGACTGTTGGGGGTATCCAGACGACGATCATGTACTTAGATACTACAAGTTAGGCCAGAGGGATGTAACCCTGGTCAACCACAATATATTACATTCAGCCACAGAAAGACATTCTCGCAGGCTCTAAAGGCGAAATTTATCTTGGCATTCCTCCAATGTGGTCCCTTTTGCTTAGAGCTTGCAGCCGCACTTCTTCGCATTTCTTACTTATATTGCTTTTTTATTTTTATTTTTGAAAGCTCGCCTATAAACAATGTATGCTGCAGGTATAAGTCTTCCGGTGAAATCCGAGAAGATTACAAGCACTGGATAATCCTTTAGGCTCAAGTTAGTCTAGTACTTTTGTCCAGACCCTTAATCTGCAGGTTTCATGCAGTCAGACGGGGGTTCGGCCGTCCTGCGACCTACGTCCATAATTAAGTGGTGTGCGGTTATCGCTCATTGGAAGATAAATAGAGTTCATATTCAACAATTTATATTGAACTTGCCACGGATCTGTTAAGTGAACTTTGATTCTGGATAACACCTTAATCGGGTCAAATTTCCGATGCGCCAACCCTATCAGCAAGATGGACCGATGCAAGCACGAATGGATAGTTGCTCTGGGATCTCTTTTCATTGGTTTGGTTATAGTCGCGAGAAACAGAAAAACTTACTATAAGTCAACCACGTTTAGTAATTCATGACAAATGGATTTGCCCACTCCGCATGAACGGACCTAGAAAGCAAATTTGTCAGTCGCCTTCTTAGTTATCAAAATTCAAAATGAGCCTTTTCCTCCCTATACTGACACAGCGATGTATCTGTTCTCATGGTTTTCACAATTTTCACGCATCGGCAAAGTTTCTCTTACTCGGAGCGAATTTATTCGGCGTTCTTGTTAATCATCTTTCGACACGTCTTTTGCATAAGTGATTGCATCTTGGGTCGGCAATCAGTGCTGTGGTGGCCGCTAATGTTCTATTTGCATCTCCCATTCGGTCTGATTCTTAAAAATCCCGATCTGATAAAATTCTGGTATGATTCCTTTTCGTTCTTACATTTTATTCATTACTCTTGCCGAGGTACCTGTTTGAGCCACTGTTGTCGGTTAATTTCAGTGCCATGGGTTAGTTTTCCTAATACACAGATGGCGCAATGTGATACCTGCAAGTTGCATAGGAAATACTGAACGATATCGCCCATCTGTCGAGACTACACTCATCAAAAGCTTTATGTAATGGGTGAATAAATACGCTTTTGTACTTATTGGTCCCTAGGAGACTGGTAGAAGTAATGGCTGCACAGATCACAGGCCTCGCATGCGGCCTACAGCTACTCACCCAGTCTGTGTCGTCTTAGAAGCTTTTTCTCTGGCCGCAGTGAACGAGTCTAGGAATAATCGTATGAGCAAATTCAACCACGGTACCCCTCTAACTTATCACAAATTAATTTTAATGGTAGCGCAAAGAAGAGTAAATATATTCCTAGCGGCCAGCGCATTCTGTAAAAGCCACTCGCGAATGTCAGCCAGTGGAGTCAAGCACCACAAAACGTTCTATTCTCGTACTGCTCTAGTCACAGTAGTTCACCGAGAACTCCTAAGTGGTTTCGAATATTGATGTAATAGCAGCAGGGGCAACGTTCCACAAGCGAGTGGATCACACAGGCGAGTGGGTCACCGCAAAACACATAGTAAATGCGATAAATTACAGCTCTATATCTTAACAGCAACGTTTTTATTTTATCTCATTGCTTACCGGTAGCTATTGATAAGACTTATTAGCACTATGTTTCAATTTTAAGGAAATCAAAAAGCCATATTATCATAATTTCAAAAATTACTGAAAATTACACTGCCATGAGCTACAAATATATATATCTCGATCACGAAGACATAAAAATCCTCCAAGCTCCCTAAAGAGGCTAGATATCGCCTAAAAAGCTTTGTGCTGAAAAGAAAACCCCCTATAGACCATGGTTGTGGATATATAAAGCTGTAATTTATCGCATTTACTATGTGTGTTGTGGTGATCTACTCGCCTGTGTGATCCACTCGCTTGTGGAATACGTTAACCTCAACCTTTCCCACTTTAGGTAACTCAACGATTGGCGAAGAACCTGGCTTGTAATCCTTGTATTATGCTCCGACGCCATTCTTAGTTAGGAAAGAGCAGTCATACTAGGCCTTAATTAAGTCGGCTCTCAAGTGGCTGACACACGCAAATTTGTGAGCTCGAGGGACTCTAGATTGCGTCCTCTGTCCTAATTACCGGGACAGAATTTCGAGTAATCGCTGCTTCCTCCATATAAGTGCGAGCTTTGCCTCCATGCCCCGTGATCAGCTGGTTTAGACCAAATTAGTCTGGTCAAATGGCAAGCGATTCTCTGGCCTTTTCCTTCCTCTCTGGGGAAGTCGCAGAGGGCATCTACCACTAGGATAGGAGACTTTATCCAGTACTGTGGTGGCGACAACAAAGAGCAGGGGATCTCGAGCCGATCAGGTATTGCCCCGAACAAGCCCTGTCAAGCACTTCTAGCGCTGACGGTGATGCACGAAATGGAAGCGTTGATGTCCGGTCAGGACAGAAAGCTCCGTAATTTAGTTGTGGGCTGCCCAATCCCTCAACAGCACAGAGCAACTCCTGCCGCCTGGCGGAGAAGAAGTAGCCAAATATTGCCATGGAAGTTCGGAAGAAGCGGAGATTGTACGGGGCCCAAGACGGTCACAACGTATGAAATCCTTGCTCTTGCGCCCGATAGCCCGATAGCCCGATACAGACAGCACGGGATGGGAGCAACGGCCAGGAAACACCAAGAAATATCTCAACCCGAGAACTCTCCCACTTCCCGAGAAGATCGCGGAGAAACTCCACTCCTCCGCAATAGAAATCCCTTGCACACTTCTATCCCCGCAGTAATATCGGACCATATGGTTATGAAAAATGCTGGTTAAATGGTGCTTTGTGGAGAGGTACTCCACTTCATACATGGTCTCCGCGTTGTTGAATATCGAACAGCTCGCTTCCAGGGTTGCTCATAAATGTCACGTCTCGTTCCTCCCATCCTCGTCATTCCAGCAGCATCTTCTCCTCAGATCTCACATATTCCAGCTTGATTGTGCACAATTCACAAGCCAGTCTGATCTTTGTCCCAAGTTTCTGTCATCAATATAAATCCTTAACCGTCGCAAAGATGGGTATCCTGATCAAACAGCCCGAGGGGACTGCGGGAAAGGCATGGCCTGCCATTCTAATCAGCGGGTTCGTCGCCTTTGGAGGTGTTCTATTCGGGTAAGTTGGATACAGTCTGCCCGTCTCTAAGTATGAGCTTGAGCTCATGGTTGGCGCAGCTATGATACAGGCACAATCAGCGGCATTCTCGCCATGCCGTACTGGGAGAAGCTGTTCTCTACCGGCTACAGAGCCTCCGATGGTAATCTTACCATCACCTCCAGTCAAGCTTCGGCCATTGTATCTATTCTATCTGCGGGTACCTTTTTCGGCGCACTTGGTGCAGCCCCCATGGGAGATTTCATTGGCCGTCGTTGGGGATTGATCATCTCGACCGGTGTCTTTACACTCGGAGTCATCTTCCAGACCGCTGCGACAGCTATTCCCCTTTTCTTAGCGGGACGTTTCTTTGCAGGCTTCGGTGTTGGTTTGATCTCAGCACTGAGTGAGTACTTTTCTATCCCGCTGCACGAATTGCCCAGCGCTAACAAAATGTGTTGATAAGTCCCCCTTTACCAGTCTGAAACGGCCCCGAAATGGATTCGTGGCTTTATCGTCGGTTCGTACCAATTTGCCATCACGGTCGGTCTTTTGTTGGCCGCTGTAGTGAATAATGCCACCCATTCGCGTGATGACACTGGCTCTTACCGCATCCCGATCGCGGTCCAATTTGCATGGGCTATTGTTCTTGTGGTCGGCATGCTTATACTTCCGGAAACACCTCGGTACATGATTAAGAGAGATAACCACCAAGCTGCTGTTAGGAGCCTGGCCAAGCTCAGACGTCTTCCCGAAGATGATCCTGCTTTGCTCGCGGAACTTGCCGAAATCCAGGCAAACCATGAGTATGAGATGAGCATGGGAAGCGCTGGTTATATTGAGTGTTTCAAGGGTAATCTTGGAAAACGCCTTCTTACTGGATGTTTCCTCCAGGCCCTTCAACAGTTAACTGGTATTAACTTTATCTTCTATTACGGCACCCAGTTCTTCAAGAACTCTGGATTTAAGAATGAGTTTGTCATCAGTTTGATCACCAGCTGTGTTAACGTCGGTTCTACGATCCCCGGTCTCTATGCTATTGACAAGTGGGGAAGACGCCCTGTCTTGCTTGTGGGAGCTATTGGCATGACTGTATCTCAGCTTCTCGTTGCCGTCCTAGGAACTACGACCACCAGTCAGGATGACCTTGGAAATATTATTGTCCACAATCAAGCTGCGCAGAAGGCGGCCATCGCTTTTATTTGCATCTACATCTTCTTTTTCGCTGCTTCTTGGGGGCCGATCGCCTGGTGAGTTTAACATATTCCTTTCCCGTGGCCCTCTCCCTGTTTATCCATGAAGCTAATACGATTAAAGGGTTGTGACAGGAGAGATCTTCCCTCTTAAGGTTAGAGCTAAGTCTCTGTCTATGACCACCGCCACCAATTGGCTGCTTAATTGGGCACTGAGTTTCTCTACACCCTACTTGGTCAACTATGGACCCGGTAACGCCAACCTGCAATCCAAGATCTTCTTTATCTGGTTCGGCTGCTGCTTCCTCTGTATCGCTTTCGTGTATACCATGATCTATGAGACTAAGGGCTTGACCTTAGAGGAAGTTGATGAGCTCTACCGCGAGGTCAGCTCTGCTAGGAAGAGTGTTGGCTGGAAGCCAACCATCACCTGGACCGAGAAGAAGGAGGCATCAAACACATTTGGAGGGAAGGGCCCAGTTGAGGAACACAGAGATTTCCACGAACCAGCACTTGCGCAGGCTTAATCGGAGGAACCTTGCGGGGTCTATGAGGGCGAATGCCGATGAAGGGTTCCTTGCTGATAGAATTGAATTGCGTACTGTCGGGATAGTCATTGAGTAGACTCATTCCTTGGCGGGCTTCACGAGGTTTTTCGAGGCATCTTAGCATGTGAATGGTGAACTCCAAGAAAGCTAAACCAGATAAATGCATATATTAGAATCCTTTCCTATAAAATTACTGGTCATGATAGGAAGAAGGAATCAAACTCAATAGTTACAAGACATGACCAGATTTTTTAACCCCTTATAGCATCATTAAACTCCTTTTTATAAGTCTCATTGATATATCATCATGCAATGGACGAGATTGAGTTGTTCTGACATTGTGATAATCAAAGGTAAATCTTTTCGCAGATGTAGTGCGTAGTTCAGCGAGCTTTGTGGATACTTTTACCCAATATATATACTCCATACTTCGGTAGTTGGGAACGATTGAGCGTTCAAGGTATACTCCGCTCGTACCAGTTCATCTCGGCAAGATATTGACGGGAAGAATCTCTAAGCATATGAGCAGAATAAAAAAGTCCGGCATGTGAGAATTATAGAAGAATATGACGAGATTAGATTTTTAAGCTTGGGTTTAGATTGAATTAGACTGGTATGTTAGGAGATATACAAGACGTGTAGGAGACTTGTAACATTATCTGGAGCCCACCAGAACAGCGGCTACAAACAGAGATATAAAGGATATAAGGACCACTATTCTTGACTTCTTTACCATTTAGTTATAACTTAAGTTATGAATTTATTTTTAAGTTTAATTTAAGCTATGCAGCCAACTTGGTGGCATAATAACACATACTCTGGTTAACCTAGACTACCTTAAGCTATCACGTTACTATATTTAGAATATTGGAGTATTGAGACGTAGTAAGAATAGTCCAGAGCCTATCTTAGGTTCGTATCATCCCAAGTTAGGCACTCACAATGAGTGTGTCGTAACACTCAATGTCACCGCAAATTCATACATAGTCCCTGACTCCCTTACGGTCCCCAACGTCGCCTACCTAAGTGACTTACCACACGCATGATACCCAGACCTGGATACTTTCTTCACTCCTAATCATGCCTCCACCTGGAAATATGCCACCCGTGGACGTTCCTTGCCTTTTGCAGCCCGAACTGCCACGAAGTAATTGTGAGCTGTGGTGTACCTTGTAGACGTCTAGGGCTGGATGCTAATTTCCAGAACTCATTCCTGCGAATTGTCTAAAGTGCGGGGATTTCGGTCACGGGCGACATTGTGCTACAAAAGTATCGCGGAGGGGGTCCAGATCTCCGCGACCCCTTTTTTCCCCTTTTTAAGTACCTCGTATTCCAATGCTTGAGGCCCCTGTGCTTTTGCCCCAGACCGTCAGGTACCATCCATGGAAGGTTTAACTCCATTTTCCAGGCTTACCGCGAGGTCATTTGTCTGGTACTATACAGGGGATAGACAATCATATTCAGTCTAAGGGAAAAGATCCAGCTACTTCTAGTCGCAGCAATTCATCTCCCTTCTGTCTAGCGAAGTTGCAGCCTAACAGGCAGTCACTCCTACAGACCTATATACATCATGTAACCTAGGATCCAACTTCTGCGAGAGGTCGGGGTAAATCGAATCGTCCATCCATCCATCCATCCATACTGTAGAAACCGACGCTTTAGTTACTCCCCGCCGATCTTCTTGTTTGACCTATCGATTTAAGGTTGCCACAAGTTTCCGTTTGTTCCCTCTAGCTTCACTCATAAAGTTTGACTGCCTAAGTCAATCTGAAACCCTTTCAACCCAGTAGACCATAATAGCTTGGAGTTCTGCCTACCCAAAACTAACGAGCTTCGAGTTGTATGGAAGATATCCAAACCGGCTCAAGGTATACGGTGCTAAGGAAGGCTTCATTATCATGCGTTATGCGATCGCTCAATCTTTAATGTAAAGCCTGGAAAAGTGGGTCCGTCCACAAAGTTGTGTGCTATAACCCGATGTGTGCTATTTCCGGGCGTGTTATAAGCGAGAGTTGACTGTATTAGAGAATAATATAAGCCCCAGGCGTTGAGATATGAAGTTGTAATTTATCGCTTTTAATATGGTGTTTGGCGTGGGCCACTCGTCCGTGTAGGCCACTCGCCCGTGATTTACATTATCCAACAGCACATCGTAGATTTTAGTCTGCTAATCTATTGGTTGATATAATGCACTAATCGAAATGCGCTTATTGTGCCTCCCGGGAGCGGACGAGGGGATAGCACTTGTACGAGCTAACCCTGAAAATGAAGCTTACTGCATGAAATGAGGGGCATCATGTCAGACTTTGTCAGGCACGAGCACACAACTTTACTGCTTATCATGGCTGCGTGCCTAACCACCATGGCTCGAACGACAAGTAACCCTTTGGATGACAGGCTGTCCGCTCTCTGGCGTTCTGCCTGTGACGACTATGCCAAAGAAACGGGAATTGCGCTTACCGATGGCGACTTCCCCAAGATCCGCGGTTCCGAGGATCTATTCCGTCAGCTCGACGCAGAGAAAGTCCATTTTGAGGACTTTCGACTGAAGAGACGACCGCTTTTGCATGCTATGCAGATGGTCCTGGCGCCCTTCGAGAAATGGGGCGATCTGCTTGCGGGTGCAGCCTCGGCAGCTTTTCCTCCGGCGTCTTCCATCATGGGCGCCATGATGCTTCTGATTCGAGGTGCTCGCAGAGTCAGTGAATCGTTCGACATGATTACGGACTTGTTTCACAGACTCGGTCATTTTGCCCTCCGTCTGGACTCGTACGAGGGGGTCCCTCTCAGTGAAGGAATCAAGACTATCATTGTCAAAGTTTTGGTCAATTTCCTTCGTGTCTGCGCAGTGTCGCAGAAATTGCTAAATCGGGGGTCGTTCAGAGCAAGACTGACGAAATGGACAAAGAACGTCTTGGTTGAGGATACATCGAATAGTTCGCTCCTGGGCGAGCTGGAGGAGTTGACGAGCCAGGAACACAAGATGGTCTCCGCTCATGGCCTCGATCTCACTCACCAGGCACTCCAAAACACCGCGGAATTACTTGAGAGAGACGACAGCAGAAACGATCGTGAGAGACTGGACACGGTGAAGAGGGCACTAGAACCCGTCTTTTCCTCTGGCCGCGTCTTCTCCTCGATTAACGATAATCGTATACCTGGTTCGGGCAGCTGGATTGAAGACAGGATCCGGTCCTGGTGGCAGAGTCCCCAGCCTCTACTCTGGATTCACGGGGGCCCTGGTGTGGGAAAGACCTACCTGGCTTCGAAAATCATCAGTGATCTCGCGACGGCAGACCCATCCGCTCGATCTGCGCCCATCATCGCCTCTTTCTTCTTCAAGAATAACAACGTCGATCTACGCTCGTTCAACAAAGCGCTACGCACCCTGGCATGGCAACTCGTCGTCCAGCAATCGAGATTCGCGGTACATGCAGAGGATTTCTGCCTGAAAGAAGACCCAGCCAACAGCTACGTCGTCTGGAGGAAACTCTTGCTTGAATACTTCGTCGAGTCGCCACCGGACGCCGGAACGTGCTTTATAATTGACGGTATTGACGAGGCCGATCCTGAGGAGCAAGAGATCCTTTTCAATTTACTCGAAAGCACGTACGCGACAGGGGATCAGATGAGCCCCACTTCACCGATCCGAGTTGTACTTCTGGGCAGGGATTCAGTGCGAAGCATTCTCGATGAACACTGCCTTGGGTGGATCCCTGAGATCGAAATCACAAATACCCAGAACAAGGACGACCTTCACAGATATGTCTCTCAGAAGCTGCAGAAGACTAAGTTGTTCCGCGGCTATCCAGACTTCCTAGACGAGGTCGTCCGCGATATATGTGGGCAAGCGGAAGGCCTCTGGGAATGGGCAAACCTTGTCACCCAGTCTATTCTGCGCTGTCGGACCAAGGAGCAGATTCGGAAAGTGGTCCGGACAATGCCCCGAGGGATCAGCGCAATGCTGCACGCAGAACTGCAGCGTTTGGCTAGAGAATTGTCGGCATCAGATGCGATGTCGACCGAGTTATCAGATGGGGAAGAATCAACAGGAAATGCAATGACGCAAATTCAGCAGCTCAATGTCCTACTCTCACTTGTGGCAATGGCTCAGAAGCCGCTGACGGTGGACCAACTCGACCTTATCTTGGAAGTCATCCTTGAAGAGGAGGTACTGAATCTTGAGGATGATCTTCGCACGGTATACTCATCCCTGTTTTCACTGCGGCCCGCAGAGGATGAAGAAGAACAAGATAAGGACGCGGTCATTGTAACTCTGCGGCATAGTTCTTTTTATGAATTCTTCAACAGGTCAGTGGAAGCTGGACCCATCCAGGTCAATCCCAAGCGAGCTGAGGCGTTGTTTCTATTCGTCTTACTCTATGCTTTTCAAAGAGAGTTCGCGCCCAAATCAGAAAGGTGGCTATTCTGGGTCAAGAGATACGCTCAGGAATTCCTGACGCTCCATCTGTCGCGTGCAGATCCAGAAAATGCAGCAACTCGAAAAGAAGAAATAGCCACTCTACTCGCGGGTCTCTTCACCGAGGAGCCGGAATTCAACCCTCAGCACTGGCTCATTGAACAACACCGCGCGTTTTACCTTACCACATCCATCTACTATAACTCGTCTCGCGCATCAAAGATTGCTCATTACTGGTGGGATACTCAAGATCGTGATACGGCGGACCAGAGAGCAGAATTGGTACTGAATTGGCTCTCCCCAGACACGAAACAGCTCCTGCATGAGTGTGCTCGGTCTTCAACGGTGGCAAGCGATGCCTGTCATTTTACGGTCCTTTTCTCTCGTTTGGCAGAGACTTTCTCCCGACTTTGGCTCGCTCCGAAAGATATTGAAGAGGAAGATGGATTACCGGAAATTCTCCCCACCATGCTATATTTGTATGCTCAAATGGCAGGCGCGCAATTGCCAACCTCCGAGAGGAAAATAGACGTACGCACAATGTTGGAACTTGACGAGATCATGTGCACAGCCGAGATGCAGCGTCTCGAGAAGACGCCCGTCTGGCATGCTCGAGTTGCTCAGGCGCTCCTCCTGCATTGCAACTACAAGGCAGCTCTCGAAGAATTCCAGATCTCTCTCGATGAACATCTCAGAAATCCTATCCTGAGCAAACAAGCGCTATCCGTGATTCACAGAGACATGGGTCGCGCATGTACCGAGATCAGAAGGTACAAGGAGGCTTTAGAGCACTCTGATCTTGCCGAGTCGCTGCATGACGCCTCCTGGGAGCGTGGCTGGCAGGATCCTGTCGGCAAACTGCTGAACACTGCGCAAATGGAGCACTTTGCGAAAATGACCGACAAAGCTGTTGTTACCGCCAACGAGGCCTGGGAAGCATTCATGGGACAAGAGGATGATTATCGAGACAGGTACACGCTGTGTTCGTTCTTTTCGGTCTTTCTGGAGCTGCGCCAGACACACCGTGTTCACGATGTGCTCGATTTTGCCGTTTCACATCCTCAATTGTTCAGGTGGACCAAAAAGGCAGGTTTGGCCGAGCTCCTCGCGACAACACTGACTTGGATGCCCCGCGTAATATATGAGGTCCTTTACTATGCGCGGATGCGGGATGATGGAGAGTTTATTGATCTTGTTGCCTCGGCTGCGGCCAGACTTGAGGCCTCGGTGGGAGAATTAACCTATGATGTGGCGACGGCGAAATACTTCATCGCATCAGTGATGTTTGAAAGCGGCCGGATCAGCGCAGGAATCCAAACTTGGTGCGAGGTTGCCTCCCGCGACGACACCGATGACTTGGGTGTGAGACCGGTTCGGGTGCGGTCAAGGAGTCGCTTAGCGGCCGTGTGTCTATACCACCCAGAGATTCCGTTGTGTGACTGGTCTCCTCTGAGATTGGATAAGACGGCCGAATTTAGTGACATCTGTTTGGTGATCTCAAGTTGGCTACGGGATCATGGTGATCTCGCAAACGCCCGAACAGCCCTCCGCGGACGTGTGATGAAAAGTATTGAACTACTATCGGACGACGATCCTTCCAACGATGATGACGCATTAATCAGCCTCTTTCTGACATTTCTGACGGATGTGGACAGTGATGAAGATCTGAATGGCGCCTTGTATTTGACCAAGGCCTGGTACAGGGACTATCTGCGGGGAGCGAAAAAAGACAATCTTATATCCGAAGCCGTGGCAGTGCCTTGCGATGACAGCGGGGCCTTCCAAGACGGCGTCGCCGAATCTTTGAACCAAGTGCATCTTGCCGATGACGAGACACAACGACCGGATGCAGAGTTTTCTGAACGCCAGAGCTCCTACACAATCGACTATTTCGCCGAGTGTTCGAAGTGCAAGTGTGGGATGAGGTCGATATGCCACTGGTACTTTTGTCGTTCTTGTCCATTCATGATGCTGTGTCAATGGTGCTACCACGATATCCAGTCAGCCATATCACAGTCTGGTGCGTCCCATCCCCCGGGCATCTGCGACCCTCAGCATGAATTTTATTATACTGGCTCTCCGCTTCGACCCTCTGAACGTGTGCCTGAGGGAATGATGGCGCTTGAAACTTCTAATGGCAAGAGGCAGATAATATGGATTGAAGACTGGAAGGATAAGCTGTCCGAGAAGTGGGGAGCCGCGGACTTTGCCTTTGAGGGTGGACTGTCAGCCTGGTGTATGCGTGTATTGCCGAAGCCACAGAGATCTCGGTGGGCAACATTATTCAGGTAATTTGTCGGAGGGCAAGCATGGAACGGTGGCTTATTTTTCATGTGCTGCTTTCTAGTGCCATTGTCACCATTAGCGAAAACTTGACTTGTCCCGACAACACCACCGTATCTTATGAGGATAATTGTTTAGAGACTAGTAAAATCAATACTGGAGATTCCATCCGCTTATCAAAAGTGTTATCCTTTTAGAATCACTGGGATATTTTATTGCGTATATGGTGAAAGAATCGACCCCCAACTTGTCATCCATATTTTTATGTTTCTTGGTTGGGATACCATTGATATAAAGATTAGTCCATAGTTCGACTTTTGGATTTTGCCTGGGTTGTCGTATGAGATGCAACAGTATTGCCAGGATAGATTCGCGACCAAGGATTGCCAAATATTGTCGATGCCGAAGTAGCCCGATACAAAGACCAAGATGGGGCCTGAGGTTCTTTGGGCTCGGAAACAGATTTCCTGGCCGTCGTCGGTGGTAATAAAGATCAAGATGAGAATAATCCAAAAGGATTCCACGTAATTTCGCAACTTCTTTACCAAGATAATTCAGTTATATTATGCATTACATTCACATAATCAGCAGGCGCTTTGAGTGCAAGGTAAGTGAGAGATTGACAGAGCTAAATTAAGGATAGTAACGATATTAACCAGGCCAAGGGAAATTAGAAACTAAAGTCCTAAGCGTGATAGAATATTGGGAACCCCAGAACTAGTTGGAATTGGTGGACTGACCGATTCACCAAGGAAGGAAGTGTTTCTCATTTTCCTGTTGGTTGTCTGTATTGTCATTTAAACATGTTCGATAGATAGAGAATCTGCTTAAATATTACATGTGAACTTCAAGGAACATCGGATTTCATGAGCTGGGCCTTCTTGAATAAGGAAAGGGTTCGATTATATAGTAATAACAGAACATATCTCCCGTGTTACCCCTGGTAGCGCGACGAGAATAGATAATTATTCGTCATCAAGGAGTGAGGAAATTTAATACGTCATTGGTTAGTGGATTCCTATTGCATCCAACATCCGCAAATCACTCTCGAATGTACTGTAAGCGCAAAAAGCTGTGGAAAGCTCCCTTCTCGTGGTGAAGCATCTTCAGCTCCTTACGCTCAGTGGACGGCATGGCGTTTGGGTAACTACGTAAATGGTATACAAACATTGCTCACGAACTTGTTTGTAGAATTTCTGTGGAAACTGAGAAACTTCCATTTCTGTTTTGTCCGACTTGGGAGCGGCTCCTGGCAGTGGGGTGAGCGCTCAGGTGCGTGCATGGAGTGCTCAGTGAGTAATTACGGAGTCATCCCGGAGTCATCCGGGAGTATCAAAGCCATTGGTCTGCGATTATTTGTTGCAATATTATGGTAATGTTATACGAGTAGATTATTGTAATTTAGAGAGCTGACTAATGTTGAGAAGAAGTCGTCAGTTGTTTACGCTCACATCCTGGGTAAGAGAGAATAACTGTCAAGATGCACAAAATTATAATGGAATCTACATGCTCATCAGCAAATTTGATCTAAGTAGTACTATAACTACTTCTAATACATGTACGTATATAAAATCCAATACGGTTCAACATGGACACTGAAGTTACATCTTTTGGGTGTATTTCTTGCTTTCGATTAGCGTTTGCACAATGCTTAGCACTCTAGATTTCTGGCCACAACTCTGATTTGTTGCAGCATTTCTTTCTGAGTTATAGGAAAATTGCCTGCGTGTTCAATTCCAATACAAGAGGGGAAATATGATGTAGCTTGTATGCCTATAGGGGTCACAGAGAGAATAATGACTATCGGCTTAATATAGGAAGTAAGTGTTGAGACATCTTCCTACTGCCTGATCCGAACCGCCTGTACCTCACCCCCACATATGCTGGACGTTATTCAATTGTTGATAAAGCCAGCTCAGAGCGAAATCGATCGCACGTCGACTGATTCCAATAGCACGTTTCCTGAATTAGTGGACAAAGCGAGGCCGTCCGAGGAAATATCTGGGAATATCAAATCAGAAATCACCGCCTCGCCTTGCCCGCCATAAACCTCAATGGAGCATTCATCAACCAATACTCGCAATTGCACCTTCCCATTTGTATCGGCCTGGAGAGTGGCTGTGTGGATACCGCCAGCAGCAGGATCATATGAGGTGTTTCCACTTGCATTGCGATCGACCGAAAGTTCTTTGTTTGACTGGGTATATTTAATCACGGTTTGTTGAGATCCTCCCTTTCGAACGGAGAGAGACAGTGTGGAGCCCTGGGCAGGAATAAAAGTAATACGAATATCCAATGACCTCGAATGGACGTTCGAGAGCAACGTCTGTCCAGGAGCAAGCGTCTGACTCGTGATAGTCGCAACTGAAATACCGACCCCATCTAGTTCGCTCACGGGCAGTTGGAGGAACTGTAATTTGCCATTGAGTTGCTTGAGTTTCAGAGTGCGAGGGAATGAAAGCATTCCCTTCCACGTATTGGTTGGAGGGTTGCCACCATAACTGTTCATAACTGCAGCAAGAACCCTGCGCCCGTCCGAAGCAGGTACGTTTTCCCAACTCAAGACCCCATCCCAATCGCGACCATAATCAAGCCATAGCGTGGTAGGGTCAACTGCGTCCGCGGAAAAAATGGAGCCGTCGAAAGACCCAGTGAGTGCAAAGACTCCATTACCACCAGCAGGCGATCCAGTGGCGGGAGTCACAACCAACACCCATTTCTTTTCCGTAGTACCTTCAATCTGAAGTTCGAAAAAGTCCGGCACTTCCCACCCGTTAACTCCACTAGGGAATCCCACAATATTGCTTGCAGCGAAGTCACTTCTCCAGGTCCAGTTCTTTGTATCTGTAGATGTCCAGAATGTTAATTTGTTTTGTCCCCCATGCGCGAGAATCATGACCCATCTGCTCGTCGGGCTGTGATAGAACACTTTTGGGTCCCGTGTCTCCAGACCCTTGGTTATATCATGTGGCACTTCTTGGCTTTGCGATATGATCGGATTGCCCTGGTACTTCGTCCAAGTCACTCCCTGGTCTAAGCTATACGCAAGTCTTTGATCCTGCACCCCACTTGAGGGGAAGTAGCCAGTATAGAAAGCAAGGTACGGCGGGTCTGATAATGTTCCAAGGCCTGAGAGATTCTCTGAATCAAAATATGATGTTCCTGTGAAAGCCTGTATCCCATCTGCACTCGAAATTGCAACCGGTCTATGATCCCAAGACACAAGGTCAGTGCTAGTGGCATGACCCCAACTTAAGTTGCCCCAAAAGTTTCCAGTTGGATTGTGCTGATAGAAAAGGTGCCAGGTAGGGCCGATTTTGATCAGTCCATTGGGTTCATTCATCCAGTTTTGTTCAGGGACAAAATGGAAAGTAGGACGAAAGTCGTAGGGCGCTGTGGAAGTAGGGGCTAACGCCAGTGGTGGTTCTTGTACTGGTAGTTAGGGTGGTACCGACAGAGGTAGTGCTCGTGGAGCTTATGGTGGTGGCAGTATCAGTGGAAGTTGAGCTCGTACTGAGAGTGGTACTTGATGGAGTGGATGAATCATAAGCTGAATCAAACACCTTTGCATCAATCATGACACCATTTGTACTTCCCCCACCGGAGAAAAGCCGGACATCGACACCATTATCCTGAGGAAAGATTTGAGCGGATACTGTGACTTCCCCCTGTCCCCCGAAGACTTCAACAGAAGACCAGTCAAGGAGAATGCGCAATGTGACTTTGCCATCAGTGGACGGCGCCAAAGGAGCATAATAAGTGTTGGGAAATGTCCCGTCGAACCCAACATTTCCAGATTTTGTTCGATCAACGAAAAGTCTCTTTGTGCTAAAGTCATAGCCAATTCGTGTTTGCTGTGATAGGTCGGAAGTTGCCCTAAGAATTATGCCAAATTGAGATGAGGATGACGCTGCAACTCTGTCTGAAAAGGTCACTGTGATATCAAGCAATTTCCCGGAAAGTTGTACGAGCTTGTTGCCTTCGAATACTGTATCAAAGGTGTTAGAGTAAGTTGTTGTTTGCAGACTAGTCCAATTTGCCGTAGGTTGCTGGATTAGCCTTGGCCTGTCGTCGATTGTCTTGAGCGAAAGCTTCCGGGCAATTGTTAACATGCTGCGCCATGGAGAAGTAGGGATTGCGCTAGCATATTGCCAATTGCTCATCCATGCAATATTGATTCGATTTGTGGATGCTAATCCATTAAATGTTGTTGCAGCATAGAAGTCTGGCCCATAATCCAACCAGTTGGGCCCATACGGCTCAGTTGATGTATTTGAGAATGAAATTTCATCAATCAGAATGTGGCCCCAACCAGTGGTACTAAGATCAACAATCTCAATGACCGCAATTTGACCTATCAGGTTCGTGACATCCCAGCTTTTTGGTATAAGTTGTTCTGCATCAGCGCCTGTAGCCGTTCGTACAATCTGGCCTTGGACCTTTAGGTTGATGCATTCCACGCCAGGCACATTGCCACCACCGATAAGAAAGTTGATTTTCTTCTGGGTTATGGTGAAAGTTGGGGACGTGAGTGTTCCAGTAGTAGCATCCCCGTTCAAGAATGTGTTAACGAAATTTCCCATATACCCAGTCACAGCCTGTTGTCCTGCAAGTGTGCCTTGAGCTGGCGATTTTCCAACCAAATCTCCAGTAGCAGTCCAACCACGGTCCGCAAAATTGCTAGTACCATTGAAGCCCCAAGTATCGCTAGCATCACTGCGTCTGGGGAGGTTGTTGGTGCCGGCACCGCCTGTGAAGGTAATCTGATCGATCAATATATGTCCCCAACCACCTGTTTGCTGATCCACGATCTCAAGCACAGCAGTTTGGCCTATCAGATTTGTGACATCCCAGCCACCCAATATAAGCCGTTCCACATTCGCGCCTGTAGCGGTTCGTACAACCTGGCCTTGGACCTTAAGATTGATGCATTCCGTGCCCGGTGCGTTCCCGCCACCAATAAGAAAATTGATATTTGGACGTGATATTGTGAAAGAAGGGGACGTGAGTGTTCCAGTTGTAGAGTCTCCGCTTAAAAAGGTATTGACAAGCTGACTTCCAGCATATCCAGTGACGGTTTGTTGTCCAGCAAGAGTCCCTTGAGCTGGTGAAGCTCCAAGCAAATCCCCAGTAGCAACCCAGCCGCGAGAAGCGAAGTTACCGGTTCCTTCAAAATCTTGGAATATGACGTCTCCAGTTGCAGTTGCAGTTGCAGTTGTCGTTGTGGAGGAGGTGGATGCTGAGGTAGTGGTACTGGTAGATGTAGGCGCCGTAGGCGGAGAATTGGGATCCGCAACAAATTTTATTCCATCAAAGGTTCCCACAATGTATTGCGTTCCTGAGCCGGTCACTCCAGGGGGTCCGCCAGGGTTGAGTCCGATTTGCATAACCCACTTGGTATTGGCGTCATCTCCGTCAACAGCAAGTGGAAAGATGCTAGGACACTCCCAAACACCTCCTACTGCATTCCAAGGGCCAAATTCGCTGGCATATGTCCAATCCTTAAGGTTTGGGGAGGTGTAAATAAGTAACTTGTGGAGTTGGGCCAGCGAAACCACTGAGATCCACCTCTGGCTAGCTTCGTGCCAGAACACGAATGGATCTCGGAAGTCCCGCCATTGGTCTGCGTATAGGGCCGGAGGATTTAGAATGACAGGATTGGCGGCGTCGTAGGTAGTCCATGTTATGCCTTCGTCTAAACTGTAGGCAATTGACTGCGCTTGCTGCCCACCGTTGACTAACTTCCCGCTAGGTAGATTCTGGGAACTAGGGTACTGAGCCCCAAAAGCGTTAGAGAAGCTAGCTGCAAGGGCTTCATATACTTACATAGGAAGTATACATTGCAACAAATGGGACCTTTCCATTAGAACCAAAGCCACTTGTGTTCTGGGTATCGGCGACAGCAGAGCCAGAGAAGAACATCTCAGTGATATCACCTGGGTAGCCACGAGCGAGGAGGGCAACAGGCTGGTGATTCCAGTGTGTCAGATCAGTGCTGGTGGCATGGCCCCAAGACATAGCTCCCCAGGTGTTTCCTCCTGGGTTGTACTGATAGTACAGATGGTAGAGGCCATTGTAATATAAAAGACCGTTGGGATCATTCATCCAGTTTTTAGCTGGAGTAAAGTGATACTGAGGGCGGTAGAGCTCATTGTAGGTTTGAGCCAATGCTGCCTGGAACAAAGAAAGCCCAAGAGTAAAGGCTACGGCAAGCCGGAAAGCCATCGCAAAGAGAGGAATTCAAATTCCCGAAAAGAAGGCCAGGCTTGAGAAGGCAGGACTCATGAATGCTGAAATATTTTCAGTTCGAGGCGAAGTACTGGCTTTTAACTTATTTTGGTGGTCAGGTTTTACATCGCCAAGGTACATTTCAGTAGTTCCTGGAGGGTAACATTCCAGAACTTCCACGGAAACATCCTCCTCTCTCGTAGGTAAGCAAGCATTGGCCAGTAAGCCAAAGCGTTTCTAAACCCCAGGTTTGGTTTTAGCCGGTTATAATTCAGTCGGAAATTGCATGTTGTTTATTTTACTTTGAACCAGGATTGCTTTTGCCGCGACGACAAGTCTGTATTGGGCAATGCTCCTTGATTTCCCTCATGCTTCCATGCGCGATGTATACCCTATGGTGCGAGACATGACTTCAGGAAGCCCCTAGTCCTATAATGAGAAATTAGCCAGACTCTGCATGTCGCAAGATTTCACATGGGATGTGGGCCTGTGCGCCGACAGCCTTCAATGGACCCAAGACTATGGTCGGCGTGAAGATCAACTTTACAGACTAGAATAATTTATCCATTTCGTGCCCTGCATGGGGCCCCCTGACGGCGAGGTTTGCCCCGCACAAATAAACCGCTCACAGATATTGGGATGTTGGTGCGTGGCGTCTTCCTGCGGGGTTCATTCACAACTATATTGTTATGGATCTAGCGTTGGCATGACCGAGAACAAGGGTCGAGGAGTCAAACAGATCATTGGTGGAGCAAGGCGGATGTCTTTATTTCTCGTCCTACTTCGCGGAGAAGGATTAAAGTGCGAATCTGCGAGCAGAGGTAAAAATCGCTTTGTTTTCTGACAGAAAGTGCAGCAAGAACTATTATTGCTTCCCCCCTCCTTTTTTTTTAAACAAAACTACGATCAGCCACAGGTAGTATCAAATTTCTGAGGGATGGAATACCTCGCTAAAGATTCTGTCCATGCGTGGCTGCACCCTACTTATTCCCTCTTCTCTACGTATGGGCAGTGGTTGCGGTTGGCTATCGCTGTAGTTTCCGACGTCTCGAAAGTTAATTTTAAGACAATTTTCTGCTGAGACATAAGCAGACATCACAGAAGACGAAATACGCAACTGCCCGGTCCCATTGCGAAATGTTCCTAACGAGCATACCGAGAGCAATACGGGGATATCCGAGTCCGCAAGCCATGGCGTTTTCCCCACAATAATACCTCTCGAATTATCCATGTCAGGTCCAAATTATCGCGGACCAGACCGGGTCGTCCGCGGTGCCCCGAAATGCCTCTCGTTTGGTTTCTCCGGGTAAATATGCCCGGGTGATATGCAGTGGTAATTGCAGAGGTTTTCAGCAGTTACTCTATCTGAAGAACACTAAAAGTTGACATGCCCCTGGCATGGGTGAAGAATGACGTCCTTGGGCGACGATCATGAATGATGATCTTGAAGAAATCCTGAGGGTATAAATTACCTTTGTCGTCAGAACTGAGGACGAATGTCAGCATACCTCCACCTCCCGCTTTACAAGCACACCTGAATCATTGCAGCAACCATGTTCCTCGCTTTAGCATTCGCACTCGCCACTCGGGTTGTGGCAAATGACTTCCGCCCTGTCTACCATTTTGTCCCTGAGGAGAACTGGATGAACGAGCCCAACGGTTTGATTAAGATCAAATCAACCTGGCACCTGTTCTATCAGCACAACCCAACGGCAAATGTCTGGGGCAATCTGAACTGGGGCCACGCAACCAGTAGTGACCTGGTCCACTGGACTCACGAGCCCCTTGCCATAACAAGCGAGAACGGCGTCGAAGCGTTCACCGGCACTAGCTATTATGATGCCGACAACACCTCCGGTCTAGGGTCTTCTACCAGCCCACCCTATCTGGCCTACTACACCGGGTATTTTCCTTCCAACGGGACCCAGGACCAGCGTCTTGCCTTTAGCGTCGACGGTGGCGTGACCTGGACGAAGTACCAGGGCAACCCCATTATCTCAGCCGCCCAGGAGTCGCCGCATGACCAGACGGGGGGCTTGAGACCCGCGACCCCAAGGTCTTTTTTCACCAGGCATCTGGGAAATGGGTCATGGTCCTTGCCCATGGCGGACAGGACAAGCTGACGTTTTGGACATCGTCGAACGCAAAGTCCTGGACGTGGAAGAGCGACCTCTCTGCTAGCCAGATCGAGGGTCTACCCTCTGGAATTACTGGGTGGGAAGTGCCTGATATGTTCGAACTCCCTGTCCAGGGCACCAATGCGGCCACCTGGGTGTTAATTATGACCCCTGCAAACGGATCTCCCGCTGGTGGTAATGGTGTTCTAGCCCTGACAGGCTCCTTTGATGGATCAACATTCAAACCTGACCCTGTCGACCCTTCTAATCTTTGGCTCGACTACGGTCGCGATTTCGACGGTGCTTTGAGTTGGGAAAATGTCCCTGCTTCAGATGGACGGCGGATCCTTGCCTCTGTTATGAACAGCTACGGCGCTAGCCCACCAACCAATACCTGGAAAGGGATGCTGTCTTTCCCTCGGACCATTACCCTGAAGGAAACAGCCTCTAAGCGATACCTCCTCCAGCAGCCTGTCACTGAGCTCGCCCTCGTTGCTTCCCCGCTGGCGACAATCCAGAATCAAACGATTACCACCGGCCAAACGTTGCTGTCATCCATTCACGGAACTGCGTTAGACATCAAACTTGCCTTTACCATTAACGCAGGTGCCAAACTTTCGCTGGCAGTGCGCAAGGCCACGTCGGAGCAGACAATCATCCAGTATGACCAGACAAACTCGTCGATATCTGTTGATCGAACGACGAGTGGAGACATCTCCTACGACCCCGCTGCAGGCGGAGTCCACAGTGCTTCCCTGAAACCAGATGGTTATGGGGTTATTCATCTCCGCGTCCTAGTCGACATTTGCTCGGTGGAGGTCTTTGGCGGGGAAGGAGAAGTTGTGATTTCAGACCTGATTTTTCCCAGCGAGACCTCCGACGGACTGTCCTTGGGGGTGACTGGGGGATCGGCCAATTTGCACTCTGTCGAGGTGCGCAGCATTTCGCTCAACTAACGTGGGAGTCATTGAATTCCCTCGTCGCCGCTAGTGTGCCTTGCTGAGTCCAATAATTGGAAAAAAAAATTCTAGTCCTGAATTAGGTCTACTTTACCTTCACCCTTGACTTTCTATCTTCCAGACGTCCATGGATATAAAAGAATATACAAACCCAGTTTCGTTTTCATTCCTATTACCGTTGACCTTATTTATTTCTCTTTTCTATTCGCCGATTAAAGCAAGTTCGGGCTCCATCGCATCCGCCAACTACTAGTCCAGTCTTGGCAAGCGAGGGGAGCTTGGCACTGCCGTGCTTTCTTTACCCAAACCTCGGTTGAGGGATTCCTCAGCGCACGATCGGCACACCGAAGTTCCGCCTAGAAGACCTAAATAACTAATTAAAGGATAGAGATCTACGTTCTCTAAGGCCTCCCAGCACTTGTCCGCGATTCGAGGTGTTATTCCCGGAGGTGGTCAAGTGCCTAAAGAGGGATCAACGGGCACTGAATCTCAATGACATGCACAGTGACCACAGCTTTGTATAGTGACTCTAAAGATATATAAACCCGCCTGCCAGCCGTCTACCGCAGAATCATTGTCAACCAATATTTCATTAATTTCCTTACAAGTACTTCTTTACTATGATGTTACCCTCCGGCCATTATGCCATGGTCTTGGGGCTCTGCGCATTTAGTGCCGTCAACCTATACTTTAATTTGCGAAAAATACGAATCCCTCATTCAGATTGAAACAGTCGCTGACGTGGTATAGATCATGAATCCGAATCCCAAAACTATTATAGCCAGATTCCCTCGCTTAACCCGCTACGCCCTTCTAGTGCAGGTAAGCCGAGTAGATGTATACAAGAGGCACACAAGCGAATGTCCCGATCAACGAGACGAATTTATCTAGATCGCCCAGCTGGAACCTGTAGGTTAGCTCAAAAAGCGATGACATTCAGTGGACCTTGTATGGCACAGCCAAGTGTGGAATACTTCATACTATCCAATAAGAATTAGGCCAGATCTATTTCCACGTAACCAGCATATTGTCTTCCTGCAAAATACAAGGGTGTAGAATGCTTTTTATATTCACAAGAACACCTAACCGCTCTTCTGATCCCTGGCCATTTCCAGTCGATCTTTCAAAGTTCCATGCATATCCCGTATGGATGGACTAAGCTCACTTGGCCCACGCAGAGCATCTGCCGAAGCCTCAAGGTATTCCCAAAACCGTGGCTCTGTGAGCAACCGAAGACACCGCACTTCTAAAGCTCTGACTGCGGCAAAGGAAATCATGCATATACTGAGGCAAATGTGTAAGCACATATATCAAGAACAGAAAAGCGGAATTGCAAGCACAAACCTTGCACACAGGAACCAGGCCTTCGGGAGACATACCCGAAGGGCGATTTTAGCTGCACCAAGGAAGCTGGTTACCGATTCAAAGAACAGGCGGCCGTATGGTAGTAACTCGCTGTCTGCGAATCCATCAAGTATGATACGGTATATCACCGGCCAGTAGATTGACACCTCATACATATGGTACTTAGCTCGGCAAATCGGACCATTAATGTTCTGAGACTCGAGGCCATTGTCTGGAGAAAAACTATCTGGTAAAGAGCCCAGTGCATGGCTTGGATTTGCCTTCCTCTCCGTATGGGGAGAGCCGTCGTCATATGTACTCAGCACCTCTGTTGCTGAGCTAGCATAGCCATTCAGCACTTGTTGTAAATTTATCTCGGTACAAAAGTTGAACAGTGATTGGAGCGTTTCATTTGGTGAATAAGCTTCGCTATCTTGAAGAGTTCCGAACAAAGATGAGCTCGAGGGTGTATTCGAGTCACCAAAGTGATCCCACATGCATGTGCTTGTTGGCAATGGAGTAGTTGTCACCCCGCAGCGAAGCCTTTTGCCGAAGTATGGTAGATTCAAATGCATGGATGCCTCACTGAGTGCTTGTTAGTCCAGAAAGAAGGAAGCCGGCAGGAACATACCTCATTATTAGGTAAATCGTCCAGTACAAGCGCGTGATGAGGTGTGACTCTGGCGAACCCTCGGAGAAAAACGAACCTCTTATTCCATCAAGACAAGTTAAATTAGAGGTGGCAAGACTTGGAGTAGATTTTCTGATGCAGATAATAGCGTACCTTTTCAAAAACGGCTGAATTTTCAGAAAGGCGGCTTGTATATAGTCGTATGCTTGTCTTGGTTGGAGGAGACAAGAGCAGTATATGCTAAAAAGGACCAGGCATTGAACACTTGTAATGCTGCATTCCTGGATGGCTATTGGCATCATCGACAAGGCAGCTTCATAGTGTGAGGTGTGAGGTCGACCATCGACTAGACTTGCAATCGCTGCAACAAGGAGCGATAGGCACGATATTGTAGAGTAAGGAAAGCCGGCAGCTTTGGACTCGAAGAAATGGAACGTGAAATCAGAATGCAGAATGGGGTACCACTGATGGATCTGATCCTGGAACCGGCGGAAGATACTGGTGGTAAAGTAAGCTGAGTGGACTTTAGTTTGTTGACTCTTCATTGTTGAAGACCTACAGATCAGTAGATTCGACACACGTTGATTCAGTCGCAGACGAAGGCATTCGGGGAACTGCGGTTTCTAAGCGGTACAAACAGGATGCTAAATCTGACGGTAACCCGAAAACTTGCATGAGATGAGGAGACCTGAGGACGAGAGGTGAACAATTCTGTGGTGGAGTATTGTCACGTTGTGCTGACGGCTGTAGTCGAGGTTCCAGTAATGGGGTGATAAACTCTAGTCTTTCTCGGATGCTCATGAGCTCCTGTACCAAGCTACCACAAAGATATAAGCTATGATAGATGTCGTTGTGTGGAAAGGGTCAACTTACTGTGAGGGCTGAGAGTAAGGAGCTTGTCCATAGACACACTCTACACCTTGGGAGACGCAGAATGAGCACTTGGGCCTGATCCGGTCGCATCGCCTCCTGCGGCGGCGACAGTGGTCGCAGACCGAAGCCATTTTGTAAGGGAGCATTGTCGTAGGGACGCTCATGAATATCGAAGATTTGTCCTGAACTGATATGAAGGCATTATTTTAGGGCGTGTCACGAAAAGGACTCCTATGTTGAGCGTTCGGACCCTGCGTTCACTAAACCCGATTAGATCTCATACAGTAATTGTATTTCCAATGCATTAAACAGTAAATCTGCATCAATTTCTTGGCAATGCTAATGCCCCGAGAATCGGTATCTGAGGTACTTCTATTTACTATGCAGCTCCCTAGTAAAATTAAGCCCCCGACGTCGCCGACGAGTAGTCCTGCATCGTAGGCATCGGGAATAGCTTCACCGGCATCCTAGGGAACGCAGAATGCGGCCTAGGCATTGCCTGTAGCCGTTCATACCTCGCCGGCTACATTTTAGGGCTTAGAAATAGCTCATCGGAATCCTAGGGTGAGGATGCTTAGTCTAGTCGCCTTAGGAAGCGTCGGAGGGTACTGTGTATATCCTTAGGAAGCATTTGGCATGTTCCCAAATAGGAAACACGCCAAGATTAATTTAGTCTCTGGTAGATAGTTAATTTAACTAGGGGGTTGCATAGTAAATAGAAGTACCTCAGATACCGATTCTCGGGGCATTAGCATTGCCAAGAAATTGGTGCAGTTTTACTGTTTAATGCATTGGAAATACGATTACTGTATGAGATCTAATCGGGTTTAGTGAACGCAGGGTCCGAACGCTCAACATAGGAGTCCTTTTAGTGACGTCCTTATTTTATGACCGCCAATGGTGACACTCTGTTCCAGCTACAGTTTAGGGAGCTAGTAGCACGGATGCCGGTACCGAGGTTCTTCTCGTAGTAAGTACTTTGTCGTGGAATGGGACCCTGCCTCCTGGTTAGCTGCAATGTCTAGCTGCAATGTCATTGGACTGTGTTTTAGCGTCCTCGAAAGCCTTCAATCAGAGGTGTCGAAATTAGCCGTCGCGGAGCGTCTCCTCCTCTCCGCGAGAGTCGCTCATTCTCAATCCCCGCGGCTTGAGTGCTAGAGTTTACCCTAATTGCCCCCTTTTTTCTGGAGAAGTCTCCAGATTCTCCACACTCAGGATTGCGGAGAAAGTTTTGACCTCTTCCCTTCTCGCTTATAGCAGGGGAAAAGCGACATATTTTCCACGTCAAACTCGGAGGACGGCGCGCTCGTTTGTTGCTTTGTTTCACCGGCATACAATATTGCATCTACAATGTGATTGCGACTATACCATGACAGGCTCGAATAGTATCGGTTCATCCACGCTTTCGATGCAGCATTCTGATCATGCGAAAAGAACAGTTCAACGCCCAGTTGATGACCCTGCTGCTCTAATCCTGGAAGCCTGGTCCCAAGGCCTTATGACGGGTTCACTCGTCATCATGGCTGCTGTTACCTATGCGAATATGCGACCAGGTGTTTTGCTGCACAAGTTGATCTTATTAGAGGTAGCCCTGCCGCCATTGATGTGGAATATACCCACTAACGTGGCCACTTCCTGATAGTTGATTCTGGCCCTAGCCCACGGAACATTCATATTTGCCCCGGATCCTGTGTACGGCTGGTACCTGGCCACAACCGCGATTGGATTGATCGTATCCTGGTCTTTGCACAATGTGATCGCGTGGATGAAGAACACGCCGTTCATGGGCCGCAAACTTTCGCTCTTCTACATCGGCACGATCATCCTGGCTCAGCCATACTGGGCAACCGAAATTTACGCCAACTTCGCCTACTTCAACAACATAAACCTTACTGTTTACGAAAAGATCCGCCCGTGGGAAGCACTATTTCGGTAGGAACTGTCATATTGGTGTCATCTTTTTCATCTGTGGCTGCGTCGACTAACCAACGCTTTGACTCAGCGATCCGTGGTGGATTTATACAACGTGCAACCTCTTTTGGGTGGTCAAGACACAGTACAACTTTGGCATCCTCGAGTTGGTACGCGAATGCCCTCGATTCGGGCTCATGCTGGTCTCAATGTGTCTCTCCATTGTCTTCATTGTCCTCGACGTTATCAGCGTGACTGGGGCACTCAAATCCGCCATGCCGCTGGGCATTAACCCTTTTGGAAAGTGTGCTCCCCTTCAGTCTCCCCTGGAAGTATTTTAGTCTCTCTTGTGTTTAGGGCTGACGGGTGGTGTATCCTTCAGCTATGCTTTATGTTCAAGTGCCTGTGCGATACCATTATTCTGGACGATTTCAAGACTGCCCTTGACAAGCTTAGTGCTAGATGGCTTGTGAGGCAAGGATTTCACGGAGCTCATACCCTTGGTTAGCATTTTCTTTGATCTCCCTTCCTCTACCTACCATTTATGCGATAAAGTCCTGACGCATCGAGTATGCTTAGATTTTAGGAGCCACCCGACCTTTACTGATGAGCGTACTACGCGGCACATGGGAGATATTATCTCATTGAAGCGCCCAGTCAGCGCTGTGCATATTGAGTAAAAGGGAGGATTGTGACTAACCTGTGCCTCTGGAAATAAAAGAGGGACGATGCCCTATTTAATATAACAAAGAAACATGCGTATACCTGTGTAGATGCCAAGAAAGAATTGCCGAAATAATGTACATTCCGGTCATAAAGTCTGGATTCTGCCACAGCCCAAAAATATTGCCTATCCTCTCTTGTCAGGGTAATCAGGAAGACAAAGCCATTGGGCACTACCCTTGCCTAATTTGAGACTTCGCCACCCGAAGAAGCTGCATTTACCATTCACGGAGCTGGATTGGCGAAGCGAGATAGGATGATCGGTGTCCCGACAAGGGCTGGACGACAGCCACGGGCTACCTTTCGGACTCCTCCCCTCCGGGTCATACAGTGATTGATTACTGATTACTGATCATTATCTGACCACCCACCGGCACAATCCCTGCCAGTCCCGTTCTGGTATGAGCAGCTCGACGCCCGAGAATTGACAGTCACATCACACCGTTCCTCGGTCTCTGTTGCCCGAAACCCTTCGTAGTCCGCGTTTCAGTGGCTGGCGACGTGTCTCCACGCGGAATGGAGTCAAAGTCTACTCGTGCCCGTAGCCGTTGGGTAGAGATTCTGAATCCTGATTCGACGGTTATTCTTCCCCTCGTTGCCTTTCCCCGCAGTACGTGAGATAGAGATCTTCTTCGTGTATTCTAGAAGCATAATGTCATGGGGCAGGATAGCCAGGAACGCTTGTGCAGAGCGCCATTGGGCCTCTGGGGCACGCCAGTGGCGTACCAGACCCTGTAAAAGACGAGACTCGTCTATCTATTGTTGTGTCAAGCTTGAACTCAGGCAAATCACCTGTCCGGAATTTCCAAAGATATGCGTTTATCATGGACTGCAGACAGCCCTGAAGCACCCGGTCCAAGAACCTGCGACCAGACAATGGATCTTGATGGCCTTCCGGGTCACGACATCCGGAGACGCCGGAGCGCTCTCGCATGTAACACATGTCGGGGAAGACGGACAAAATGCGACGGCAAGCGCCCCAAATGCTCATTTTGCTTTGAACGTGGCAAAGACTGCTTCTACCCGGAGACACAAGAACTTCCCCCTTCTTCGTGAGTGACATGCCCATCGAAAGAAAGAAAGGTTCCTATTTCTGATATCATCTTAGCCTGAAGGCGGAGCTTTCGAGGTTATGGGAACAACTAGACCATATCACCGCCGTAGTCCAGGGCCAAACCCCACGGAGCTCTTCCTCCCATGATGGGCGACAGGACTCTTTTGCTCTTACAGCCCCTGGCGCGTCTCTGGGCTTTCCATTTATGGTAATACAGAGTGAAGCATTCATGAATTTGCTTGGCCTCGAGCAATCCCTGCCTGTGCTCCTCGAGCATGTAGAGCGCGGCAGAAAAGCAATCCCAGCTCAATCATACGGCGCGAACATCGTGATGGTCGATCTCCAGGAGGCATCAATGTAGGTCAACCGCGTGCTGTGAATGTGTTTCTCTGCCTTTTAGACGCCGCAATTCGATTCTGACATCAGGTGAACCTTACTATAGTCTTCTAAATGCGTTCTGGGAACAGATCCATACTTGGTATCCGATCCTGCATGCAGACTATACCGAGGAGTTCATCCAGGCAATAACATCGTGTTTCCCCACGTCGGTAAAATCCTGCCTTACTCTTCTCGTCTTGGCCATTGGTTGCGTCGTGGAATGCGAGTCCGTCGCTGATGCCCTGCGGAGCCGCCCGGAAGCAATATACATCGAAGCAGCTATGAAAATGCTTCCGTGTGCATTTGCACACAGTGGCCCACGAAGCGCGCAGTGTCTACTATTGTTCGCCATATACCACCTATGCCACGGGCAGCCATTTCAGGCTTATGATTTCGTCGCAATGGCGTCGTATAAACTGCAGAATTATATCATAAAGTGAGCAGAGGCGTATCAGGACTATCTCGGCTCGGATACAATAGCTGACAATCGACTCGACTCATCCAGTGAACTTGACGCCGACAGTGATGCCACCCAAATGTCGATTCTCGCAAACTGCTTCTGGTCAGCGTTACTGATTGAAAGGTTCCACCTCTCGTCCGACCTCGTGTCAACAGAAAAAAAGCGGAAGCTGACCGATTTATAGCGAGATTACAGTCCAGCTAGACCTGGTCAACAGTGGGATCCGCAACATGACTTCGTTTGCCCCGGTCCCAACAAGCTCAGGCACCTGGACATGGCATTTAAGTCAATCTTTCGAGTCATCTACACCCAGCGATAGCGATGGTGAGTTCTACCCCCAAAGCAACGATCTGTCATATTTCGTCGCGGAGATCGCGATGCGAAAAATGCTCCAGCGCTGCACGTGGTCGACGAGTACATTGGCGCAAGGTAGCCATGTTTATGCGCCCATCGTCGCGGCCGAGCTTGAGCGTCAGTTGGACGAGTGGCTACAATTACTCCCGCAGCAGCTATCTTTCCGTGCCTCCTCTGCCATCGGATCTCACCAGCGGCGGGATCCGAACTCGGCCCAGGTAGAATTTCTGCGTACGCAGTACTACGCATTTAAGGCATCGATCTATTGGCCAGCAGTCTACGAAGCTCTTACTGCGGGAGAGGCCAACAGCGACCTCCTCCGCCATTGTACGAGATTTTTTACCAGTTTCGCCGAGTTTGTTCCCAGTGCTGCCGCTGCAGTAGTCGTCTGTAAGCCGAATCTGTGGACTTTGTGTACAAGGTGAGCTGTGCCGGTGCCCTTGTTTCGCCGCAGCATCCGTTGGATTACAATCGGCTGACCGGTTCCGGTCTATAGTGTGTTTACCATTTCGATGGCTGCGCTGGCAGGCCTGACGGAACCATGCCTGGTTGGGCTTGTTCCTCGGGAGGCTATTCTCGGTCTGAAGCTAGCAATCAAAGTCCTCGACGGGGCCGCGGAGGTCAGCCCCTCGCTAGCAGAAATGGGTGCGATACTGAAGGAAAGAGTACAGCTGTATGATTGTAGCTAGCCGTGGCAATTGCCATAGTTGCCACAGCTCGGCCACAGGCTCGTGCATACAGAACCCATTTTCAATCACAACGGAGGGGACGGCCATGACAACCGAGCCCGACCCGTTCTTTGATGGCGACGACGATGTATCCTACCCCGTTACCTAAGACTCACAAGTGAAGTTGCGCTCCGGCCGGGGTGAATGGCCACGTGAGGGACCCTATATCCTAGTATTTGAGGATATCTGTCAAGAGAGATGGCCCATCAGTTTCGTCCAGCCAGCGACTAGCCACATTTAGTTCGATCCACTCGTTACAAATATTTATGCGCCTCTTTTTTCTTATGTTAGACGACGACCAATAGACATACTTTCCCGAGCTTCAGATTCTATATCCTGGCCGTCCAACTCCAGTACACTATGGATGGCACCCCCGACTCCCAGATTAGACATCTTATTGACCCCTTCTTGTGATGCTCTTGCATGCACTCCATCTCGTTGTCAAACAGTTGGATTATCAAGACGTCAGAAGTTTGTTGCTCTGAAATGAAGTGCCAGTTCATATGCCTTTTGTTCCTCATCCCGTGGTCCATAAGCTAGATAGCCATGCGATTGGTATGTTCCATTATCCTCGTGGAATGTAACATCCCGAACCTGTTGTTCGTTGGCGACGTTCAAGTTAGGGGCGTTGGTATCAATTATCCGCGACAGATGAGCATGAATAAGGTGATCCATGGGCTCAATCTGACCTGCCGGCCCATATTCAGATTCAGGAAAGAAAGCACAACAGGATGATAAAGTCAAAGGGTCACGATGGACTGTTTCCAGGGGCCGCCATATAGAGAAAAGCGCAAATCGAGGTATCCCATCATCGCCCTTCTGCTTCCCTCGATAAAAGCCTTTGCGATCATCCCTCCGCACGCCGGATTCATGCAACCGGTTCTCCTGTTTGTTTACTTGCTCGGCCGCCGAAGCAACGTCTGCAATGGTACTTTCAAATGTTGTACCTTGCACCCTTTGGGGAAAATTCAAGACGCACCTTCGGGGCAAGACATCTACCATCTGTCGTCGAAATTCCAATAATAGATGGAAATAGTTCAGGTATGTAAACTTTGTCTTGGTTTTGTCCTTTTTTTCTGTTTGTGAAGCTTTCGTTGTATACTTCATTTCGAAGCACTGCGGATATCACCATCTTCTTACATCCCGTAACTTCTTGAACAAGTGCCTGTACTTCTTGGAAATAAATTTCACGAAGCAGATGCTCATTAATCCAACTTGTACGATCGTATGGAGCTGCATGCAGGGACGAGAGATGTCGGCGAGCGGTGAAACCATGAACTGAGAGCTTGTATGGGGACACATCTCGAAGATTTATAGAGGGCTTCTGCAATAGTATCCATTGCAGGCGATAATGATGATGATGATGATATAAAAGAGAAATCTTGACAGCCCTATGTGATTAAAGGTCAATTCACACGGAAGGGGCTGTCGACACTTTATGTTTGCGTCATAACACCCCTGTATCACATCTAGCTGCCTGAATCGTGGCTCAGTTGCTGCCCTGCGCAGATACTTCCAGAGCTCAAAACCATTGTGACAGACCATAGGGAAAGGAAACTGTTTCCTCGTATGACTAGACGCAATTACTAACCCTGGATAGCTATACCCGGCCATCGGAATATCGCAGACTGCCAATACTCTTCATTGCGTGGACAAAAGACTTTCACTTTCCCATATAAGTTACGTAAATACCACCATGCAACTCCTCTATCTGCGTTACCCCTCGCCACCACGATTGCTTGAGGGGTACCTGCAGGAAGTGACTAGACTATGCATATGCACCGCAATTAGTGCGCCACAATGGAAGCATATTGGTGCAGACACGTTTTCCAAGATCCACGGAGTGATTTTTGATGACATGCGTACAATCGGCCCCCACGTGGACGAGATCTCCAGCCTTGCATATGAAAAAGCATGTAGGAAGCTGATGGGAAGTAGCTCTGCATTGGCCCACTTTTCTATGTGTATTCGCGAAAAGTTATAATCTATGTAAAGTAATTTCTAGTGAAGTTGGATTCAAGTCCTGAGAAATACTAGGCCTCAGTTAATTTCGTGAATCTCATTTGAAACTCTTGCAGAATTTCAATTACATGCCCCACTTGAAGGATTCTCTCGAATTATAGTATATGATATCCGTATGGACTAGTATCAAGTAAATCAATTGACGTGTTCGGTTCGAGTGTCAAAGAACGACTGTTGGAAGGTCTCTTTGTCTTGCCAGCCTGTTACAAGTGGGGCATTCCGAATTGATCCGGCTCACCCTATAAAACAGGAGACTCCGACAAAGAACTTATTCTGCCACTTTCTAAGCTTAAGAACACCCCCGTCTTTCTAGCTCGCTGTCGATCAGCAAGTTTTCAACGGCCTTTTCATTGAGTTTTGGACATTTTGGACCGGCGTTTCGAGATCTCTCCTTCTATCACCATTCTCATTTCAACCGTGCCAACTTCTGCGAAATGGCCCGCATCCTGATCACAGGTTCTACGGATGGCTTTGGCCTTGAGGCTGCCCGTCAGCTGGTTCAGCGTAATCACACCGTTTATCTTCATGCACGTAGCCAAGAGCGCGCAGATGATGCCAAGGCAAAATGCCCTGGAGCTGCTGGCGTGCTGATTGCAGACTTGACAAGCGTGACGGAGACGCGCAAACTGGCCGAGGAAGCAAACGCGATTGGTACCTTCGACGCCGTCATTCTTAATGCCGGATTGCTTTACGGCCCTTTCCGCAAGACATCAGATACTGGCGTGCCAGCTATGGTCTTCGTCAACGTTCTCGCGCCCTATATTCTTTCTTGTCTCCTTAAAAGACCCAAGCGTCTTGTCTTTATCGCTTCGATCCTACACCGAGAAGCCAACACGAACGTGAAGGATATTTTCTGGCTTGAGCGTGGGGAAAAGGAATTCCAGGATTTCCCAGCATACTGCGATTCAAAGCTTCACGTTATGCTTCTTGCCAAAGCGGTGGCAAGGCGGTTTAATGGCACTTCAGTCACGGCTGTGCATCCTGGATATGTTGCTACCAAGCTTGGAGGTCAAGGCGCTACCGACAAGCTGGAGGATGGTGTCGAGACATACGTCATGCTTGCCGAAGGTGATTACGATCAAAGTCTCACCGGTGTATATTTTGAACCCAAAAAGAAGATCGGTGAACCTCTTGAAGTGACAGGCGACGAAGATTTGCAGGAGGCCGTCGTCAAAGCTTGCGAGGAGGTCACCGGTCTTAAGCTAGAAGCTTAAGTTTGGCATATCGGAACCCATTCATAATTGGCATCCATCTTCTAGAACAAGAAGTTTACACATATTTGATCTAGTATAAATGACATTAGCACATTAGTGTTCTTAGAGGGCAGAATGCCTGGGACCATATTGAGCTCAGTTTACTCTACAAGAATAGCCCATGATCCCATGGTCATACGCTATAGGAAGCTACCCTCTACAATTCATGCCGCTCAGAGGAGTGGTTGGTTGTATGCTCTTTGTTGATATCGACCCGCCTGCTATGACAAACTGCCATCATACCATCCCCATTTCAATAGTTATTATTCTATGAAATTTCTGGTTAGAGATGATTGATTTTCTAGAGAGAAAAGGAGTAGAAAGACTATTGATGTACACAGTAACTATAAGACTGAGGCAAATATTGGTCTAAAAGTTGGATATCAAAGCGCTAGAACTGTAGATATATCTGCAGTTGTAGTTGGCCATGTTTCTAGGATTATTATATAGCCTACAGACTACGGACTCGGCCTTTTATTTTGTATGCCACTCTCTGTTCCATTATCTGCTCTATTCTCTGGTCTATTGCGTGGCAGTGGGGATGTTAGTAGTGTGTTCAGTTTTCTCTGCACTTGTCTGCTGTACGCAGACCGCCATCTTGCCTGCCCATTTTTACTCTATAAATTACTACCTGGTGACCTGGCGATATTGACTTGGCGACTTGGGTAGCGGATCACCTTACCCATATCACAAGAGCTTAGGTTGTTTTTGCCTTTGAATGCTAGATTTCATGGTAAAATTAACTTTAAGTGTGATAAGTGTCTATAGTTCCAAAAGTTCGCCGTAGATTTCGGTGAAAGTATATAAGGGATTATGCCAAAATCTAGGGCGATTTTATCCACTGGAAGTCCCATCTATGAACTACAGAGACAGTCAAAACACTCCCAAAGTTTGGGCTTTTGTTGCAACTCTGCCCACATGATCAACCCATCCCTCTGCAATCCCTCCATCACCTCTCACTCTAAAGTCATCCTCCCTTCCCACGGTGCAGACATACCGCGGAAGCAGGCTGGCATCACCCAAGCCATCCCCAGGAAACGAGCATCAGGAATATCAAAGTTCTTCACTTGACCCAATGGGACTCATAATTGACTCCATAAAAATTCAGCATTCTGATGTTACTAAGCAAGAGATCACCAGCCGGTAAGCCCCCAGTCCAGTCACTGCTAGTGAACTTGTACGTGACAGCAGGTGGAACATATTCGTTGGTGATTATGTCGAAAACGTGGTGAATAGAAGAGGCCATTTCGGCAAGGAGATGAATGTCATCAGGGTCGGGATGGTTCTAAGGAGATGAACGAGTCGGTTTATTCAAGGTGGAGATTACGTCGTCAATAGTGGTGGATTTCCACTCAGAGTCAATGCGTTTATCAAATACGATTTGGGTAGAGTGGTTTGAGAAATGTTGCATATGTCCGATGCTATCACAAAACAGGACTTGGTCTGCTTGGAGTCTTGTTCCGAGCCAGCTGCTTTGAAAGATGATGGTCCATATCGCGACCTGGAAATGCTTTGGAAGTCGGGATAACCCTTTTTGAAATCAGATGATTTTCGCAAAGGATCGCACCTTCTTTTTGATCGAGAGTGATGCGAAACGTTGGATTGTGGCGTAAGATATGGTCACCAGACATGGTCTTGCATTACATGTAAGCCGCATCTCAGAATAAACCTTGAAATCATGCATGCTGAATAACAAAATCCAGGAAACCAGAACAATGTCCTCGGCAATCGCGCATCTTCACTGATACATTAACTACAGCATTGCCAAATACGCATGCACTAAGCCATCTATGGCGTAGTCTATCACAACGGATCTGCCCGAAGATCGTCCCTTGAGCCACTCAGCGACCCGGGGGAACAAAAGGAAACCATAACAAAGCACAAGGCATTCGTAGTTATTTAGTCACAACGCCACTGGGGAAACCTGGTGGAACACTTGTGTTATGTGGGCTACCATTCTCATCCAATTCCTTTTTTTTTTTGGTTCTTTACGATTGACGAATATCGGATGTGGATGTTTCGAAGAATGCCTGTAATGTCTATCGATAATCATGGCTGCCTTCAACCTTCGTAAAATGCATGCATATCTGTCAATTGGATATAGTACAGAATTCATGCGACAGATATTTCAATTGACGAAGTACCCCGGTAAACAAATCGCCAGGGGCATTTACTCCGAGCCGTATTCAACTGCGACAACCACAGCGCATGAAAACGACCCGCAAGCAAAACATAAAAGAAAACTTTAAACGCTCGACTTCTCTTCACTTTCATGAGAATGAGAATGAGAAGGATTGGCAACAGAAAGCTTCCTTTTATCATTTCCACCCTTAACACGACCAATACCAACCATCTGAAGAACCTCTCTCCAGAACCCAGTCGGTGGGTCAAGGAAACTATCCTCATAAGCATCGAGAAGGGGTCTCTCCCAGACAAGGTCGGCTTCGTGAGCCTTAACGAACTTTGTCTTCTTGATGACCTTCCAGATGAGGAAGAGAGGGGGAATAACGATCTGCATGGTATAGTTTGACCAGAAGGTTGAAACGGACCAGGGCTTGTAGGCTGGGTAGCCGTAGACACATGTTACGATGATCATCCAGACGAAGGCGATGTATGCGGTGTAGGGTTGGAACCATGCGAAGTAGGAGAAGGATCTGCGGTCTAGGCCCTGGGCTTTGCAGGCGCGGTGGAAGAAGATGTATGTTAAGGTGATGGTGATGTAGTTGATTAGTCCTAGATTCATATTAGTAATTGTGTGATGGCTTTAGTTGAGACTTATTTGATTGGGTCTTCTTACCTCCGGCAGTAACCAGGCTGGCGAACCACGTGATGACGATGGAGGAGCTGCTGGAACATTGGAGGAAGGAAAGCACTGGGAAGATCATCACGATGGCGAAGCAGTAGATTGGGACACCATTGCGCGTGGTGTGAGTGAGGATTCTTGGGGCTCTTCCGTCAAGGGCTAAACCGTAGAGAGTACGGATAGCGCAGTAGGTGTAAGTATTACCAGCGGAGAAAATGGAAGTGAGCAAGAGTCTAATTCAGTGTCAATATAAGATAAGGCACAGTCGAGGCTGTCCATTTGTACTTACGCGTTCACAATGGAAGGGAAAATACTAATGCCCATGTTGCGCATGCCAATGACATATGGGGATGCAGCAGCTGAACCGGAAGAACCGCCTGTCACAACCTCAACCAGGGCTGGGTCCCTTGCAGAACAGATAATACCGACAGCCAAGGCACCACCGATGAAGAAAAGACCGAATCGGATATAGACGGTCTTGAAAGCGTTCTTGATGTAAATTCGAGGGCGCTTAGCTTCGGCAGCGACCATCGAGATGTACTCAGGGCCCACGACAGCGAAGCAAGCTGACCACAGAGATCCTAGGAAACCTTCAAAACGGCCGAGAGCACCGGTGTCCAGGTATTCCATGAATGATCCTGGGTTGTTCCAGTGACGGAAGCCGTATGCATCATGCTGTGGGTTTCCACCGACCATTGTGATGAAGGTGAAGAAGAATAGAGAGAAGATCAGGATGACCTTGCCGCCTGATAGCCAGAATTCAGCTTCACCATATGCCTTGACAGCAAGGATGTTAAGACACCTGTGCGAAGGTTAGAGTCTAGATGAAAAGGGTAGCTCCCACGAGGGAACAGACAAGCCGGTCTGCTGGCTGTCATAATATCTTACCCATAGCAAATAATAACAGCAGCACAGATACCAGCAACTGGGCCAGGTTCCGTGACCACATCACTCCAGAATGACAGCACCAGTGTAAAGGCCGAAATTTCAAATGGAATCAAAAGAGCCTCGTAGAAGCTACATAAAATGTTAGCAAAATTAGTCCAATAACATTGTATCAGACGAGATAAAAACGGACAAAAAGTTCCAGCCGACCATAAAGCCAAGGGCATCGTCTACCCATTTTCCAGCCAAGCGGATAAAACCACCGCTAACAGGGTAAGCGGTAGTCATCTCAGCAAGACAGTTGTTAACCATAGCCAAGAAGATACTCTGAACCGTGAAGGCAAGGAACAAGCTTCCGGGACCACCGTGGTAGAGACCAGAACCAATGCTCACGAAGAGGGCAGTTCCGATAGAACCGCCAATTGCTATGAGCTGGATCTGACGGTTTCCAAGATGACGCTGGAGGTTGTCGACATTTGATGCCATCACACCTTCCTGCACATCCCGGGGACCTTCGGACTTCAGCCCTATGGTCTCTAACACCCCGGCGCTTGTCTCCTTGTCTTTGTCGTTCGAGTAAGTCATGTTTGCATTCCTTTCTTTCTGTCTGTTTTGTCAATCTGTTGATACGGATGGGCAAGACGCAGTCGATCAAGAAGCTAGAAATGGCTAGGTCAAAGTGTTGGGTTGCCGCTTATCGGTCTGGCGCATGGGTCTGTAGATAATGGTGTGGGCTAATCAGTTACTGCGAGGGGAGATGATTTGCCGCGAGGGTTCCGATTTGCTGCGTTGTGGACTGCGATACTGTTGCAATGGATGCTGGGTAGGCGCAATGGAAATTGCCGGTGGTCTCGGCTGGGGAAGTCTCGGGTAGAGGCGTACAGCGGCGATAGCTTAGGTGCAGTGTTGAGAAAAACAACGAACAGAAGAAACGTAATCCTTGAAATAAGAGCCTTAGAAGGAGCCGGGATTTCAACTGATGGTGAGATCGAAAATATTCCCTATCTCAGAATCTCAGATAGACATCTCAGATAGGAAAAAATTAGAAGTGGCTTGCTGGCTATAACAGGGGTTTTAAGAGAAAGAAGAAAAGTCAGTTAATTTGCGTTTGAGCCAAAAAGCCAGTTAAATGCAGACCCAGCCGAAGGCCTGTCAGCCATCTGACGAATCAACTGTTTTTAGTTGCCCAGGTCTGCCCTGCAATTGGTTGGAGTTACACTTTATCAACGTCCCCGCGCGGGCTGAGACGCTTCTGGGGGTTATCCCCTATCAGGACACGAGGCTGTCTGGGCGCCATGGATCGGGCGCCTTGGGGGCGGCACGTGGCGTAGGCGCTATGATGCATATTAGAGGTGCGCTGGATCCCACTGCCGGAAGGGGCTAGGGGGGATCTCTATGTCGTATTGGGAGTGAAAACTTCTCGACGCTTGCAGTCGGGGCCGGGCACCCCGAAACTAGGTTCTCGGGGCGCACGGTTCCCCCCGGAACGGTGGCGCAGCCATTGCCTCTCTGAGATTATGCCTATACACACTCTGAGAACTTGCCACAGGGGAGTGGCAGGTGTAGCCGATAATACTTGGTCTAGACATAAAATTGTTGAAAGCGAAAATACTTCTCAAATCTAGAGCGAAAAGAAGGAAGAAAATAGCGAAAACGGCAAGTCTGCCGAGCAGAGAGGCGGACTTGCGGCCTCAGGCCACCATTCTGAGGGCCACACCTTGACTGTCGCGTGTTGCCTTTGACTGTGCCACCTCTGAATTCTTTATTGTGATCTGCATTTATATTATCCGATCGTAGGCGGATCAGGTTGCTCAATTTTATTCTCTAGAGTGTGCTGTGCCATTGCGAAAGCAACCTTCGACATATACTTGAAACCTCTCATCTCTTGAAGCTTGAACCACAGTTGTCGTCACGCTTACTATGCCAATCTCCTATGTGTTCTTCTTATCAAGAGATTTTCACGATGTATTGATTTGGGCCCTTTTTTATTGTCTTTAAATCAAACCGCGATAGGTTTCCATTAAGACAGAGCCTCTGAGTTGGCCATAAACTGTCCAACGCTATTTCTGGTTAACAGGAGCATCTGTAGACCTATAATGGGACACAAAAAAAGCATTAAAGTTATTTCGGCAGGCTCATAGCTTGTGTTCGGAGTATCTTGAGAAAATGCCTCTGCCAAAGGGGTTCTCAGGCTCCGCATATCACCTTGTGAAACCTTACGAAAAGGTAAGACAGAACCTAGACTTGATCTTTTGTGCGAGTGTATTGCTCTACTCCACCTGTTTGCATGAAATGTAGCTATCTAAATTGATAATATACCTAACATTGTACCGCATTGACTTGCTGACTTATACGCACTGCCTGCTCTCTGAGGCCCTGATTTGCTCTGTTTGGTCCTCCCTTTGAGCTTTTAACCCCGCACATATTAAATACAAATAACCTAAACTCACCTTGATCTTGGTTCTCATTCGTCATCTGGGGCATCATAGATCCTAAGCAAACGCACCAATCCGCTTCGGCCTGGCCATATCTATGCACTAGTTAATTTGTTATAGTAAGAGGAGTAATTGATACATGAGTCTGATACACCATTTCATTGATAAATATTTATTGAAAAACTATCACTGAAGATGAATGTAATGTAGACAGTCCTACAGAGTATTTGATAGCTGGTTTGCTGTGACGTCTTAAGCACCAACCGCCCAAAGTTTGAAGCCTCATATAGCTCTATATCTTCCGATCTATAAATCCAGTACCTTCAGGCATGACATACAGTACACATGCCAGTATCAACGACGATACTAAGCAGCGAATATACAACGAGCAATTAACAATTAACCTCGGGACCCACCTGGGCAGTAGTATGACGTCATGCTGCACAACCAAGCTGTCATCCAATGTGCTTCGCAGGTTCAAATACCGGAAACCCCAGGAATATACGCCTATTTAACAGTCAACTTCAAATCAACTTCCTTCACCCTTTCCACAAAGCACAAACCGCACCTACAATACGACCATGTCTTTCCTCACATCCATCCGCGCATCCCGCCAGGCCCTCCGCACCAATTACGCCATCACCTCCACTTTCCACACTTCAGCAGTGCGCAGCTTGAAGGAGAATGACAGACGTCAGTTGTCCCCGTAGAGCACATGATAAACTTAAGCATCCATACTAACGATCCTAGACCGCGAGGACCTCGCCACCCACTACGAATCCCACAAGCAACAGGTCGTCAAGGATTCCAAGGAGGGTAAGGGGAAGTGGAGGGCTGAACTGGCGAGTAGCAGCGAAGAAGATGTAAGGGTACCCCCAGAGTATACAGTGTGAATCCAGTCAGAGCTGACATGTGGTGGTATTCTAGGTGAAAGCGGATCGTGGTGACTTTGATGGCGAAAATGTTGCTTTCGACGAGATGCAGAAGAAGACAAAACAGCGTCTCCACCAGCAGAGTTCTGGCAAGCAATAAGTGAGAGTTGTAAAGCTGTTTTGTTACTATTCCGTCGCGCTTTGGGTTTTTTTCTTTGCGGAACATGTATTCGACGGCAGTTCGCCAGTGAGGTTCTCTTATTGAGGGATACTTTATCAAATGTATCGTATTTACCAATGATAATTTGAAAGCACAAGTCGTGTCAGAGTGTCGTTGCATTGGAAGGAAAGGATATAATGAATGAGAATCGTAGATGTAGTATGATCAAGAACTCAAGAGGAGTCTAGAAAACGACTCGAGTGTTTCAACGCCAGAAACGAACCAAAACAAAAAAGTCGAAATCAATCGGCCCACCGCATGTAGCTAAAGCAACGCCCGCTCGCCAGAGAAAGAACAGCACCAGAATAACAAGCCCAGATCCCATACGTAGATGTAGGTATCATTTCAAAATTACGATCAGAATAACCAGTATAATGATCAACCCAATGATAGTCATCATACTCCAGTTCTCACCAGCCTTGCGCCGGATTTTATCTATCCGCCGTCTCGCACCATCCAACCGAGTCTGATGACGCTCGACGTCTCCATCCATCCCGTCCAGCAGGGCAACGTGGCCATCCAGCTCATCCCCGATTTGGATACTTAGCTGGTGCTGCCGACCAATAGACTCGCCAAGCCGATCCAGCTGGTCATCCTGGTCGCGCATGGTTTGCTGGTGGTGGTCATAGATTTGCTGGTTATCCATACCGGACTGGTCCGGACGTGGCGGTGAAGGCTCATCGCGATATGGGCGGAAGAGATTCTGACGATCGCGGTTTTCTTCTTCGTCTATTTCATCTTGCACCGCGGCGGCAGCGGCGGCGGAGTTGTCCATGAATCGAACGGATTTAGAAGGAGGGTGTTGCGGGATCGGCTGCTTGAGATCAGGCGATGCGGAGTTCGGTGCCTGCACCGTGTTGCTTTCCGATGGTTCGCCGTTTGCGCCATGGAACTGGGTTGATAGCTCTTGGTATTGGGCTTGGAGTGGGCCGAGTTGGTCTTTCAGGGCGGCGGCGCCTGCGCTGTCGTTCGAGTTGGCTAGACGGGTTTGCTCGGCTTCCACGGCTTCTATCCCCTCGCGGAGGGACTCGAGAGACCGGGAGATCTCTCCATCTTGAGAATTGGGCTCGAGATCAAGTGAAATCGCTCGTTGGCGCTCTAGGAGGGATAGTTTGATGTGATCAGCGAGTAGGAATAGCTGGGAAGGGCTCGTCATAGTGTCGGGATGAGAAGACTAGCGGTCTGTGTGATATATGATGGATCGGAGGCGTGTGGACGGTCAATACGGAGAAAGACCTCCGATCAGCCAGACAAAAAAAGGGTTCAGGGTTGAGATGTTGACAGGTTGAGTTGGGTGAGACGGAGATCCCCAAATGCAACAAGACGACCGAGTGCGGATCAACCGCCCTTCCGCCTTTCGCCTCTCCTCCCCGCAGTCCACCTCCTTCGGCTTGAATATGTCTACATATTTGTATTCTCTCACGAAGCCTTACACAAACTACTCCCTGATCTAGTGGCATACTCATGGATCCAAAGTGCTTGCTGGTCTACCTCGGTACCTAGACTCGCCCCATCATCTGCACGTTGCTGCATGGACCCGCGCGCTGATTCTGCATACTTAAGCAGCAACATAGGGAAAAGGAGCATAAATACCCGTGCATCGCAAGGTTGCCTGAGCCTTTGACTGGGCTCACACCAGCGCATCATGAATCTACAAGAATTCCTAGCTATGGAGGACAACTGCGACCGCGATGAGCTAATTGACCTTCGCGGCCTGGATTTCGTCTCCGACTACGACTCGCACCTCATGTGTCCGATCTGCCACTGCCCCTTCGTCGACCCCGTCCGTCTACAATGCGACCATGTCTTCTGCCAGAGTTGCCTCAGTTCGGCCATCAACACCTTCCGCTCGGCCGATTCGGATGAGTTCCCGTGTCCCTCTTGCCGAACCCCCACCCGAGAGGTGTCGACCAGTGTACCCCGCTTGCTGATCAACATGTGCGACGAGATCCGGGTGCGATGTCCGTTGATAACGGAGGGTTGTCATGAGATCGTGCCCCGGGGTCATGTCCAGTCGCATGTTGAGAAGTATTGTGGGTATCGGCTGGTTCCGTGTCCGGATGATTCTTGCGATAGGTTGATTCGTAGTAAGGATGTTGGGATAGATGGGAAATGCATACATGTGCTGCGCCAGTGTCCCCGCTGTGAAGAGGATGTTATGGAACAGGATTATGAGGTTCGTCATCTTGCATATGGTCTTGGCGGTCTATAGATGCTGACTCGGAATATTGGTATAGGAGCATGACAAGGATCTTTGTCCTGTTTTAGAGACCAGTTGTGTCGACTGCGAAACAGTTGTCTCTCGGAAGGCATTCAAGGAACATGTTGAAGCATGCCCGGAAGTTATTGTCCCCTGCGCGGCAGCGAAATACGCATGTCCTGTCAAGGTCCGTCGCGCCGACGTCGCAATGCATGAGCAAAGCTGTCCGCTGGTCACAATGATCCCGTACTTTGAGGTGCAAAACACACGACTCAATTCCTTGGAATTAAGTATGCGACATCTGCAGCAACGGAACGAGATCTTCGAGGATGGGCTCGCCAACATCCGGTCCACTCTCGTCGAGTCCGCGCGTATAGGCGCCAGTGCACCCAGTGGACAATCCATCAATTCTGGAAGAGAACAGTCCTCTACCCGCGCCGAAGCAAACACAGATCCTACGGATATATCCTCGAGTGTATTCTCATCCAACGCCACAACCTATCTACTCTCACTCCACGAATCTCTACGCGAGGAAGTAGAGCAAATAAAACACAACCTCACCGACCTAGACGCCCGCGCCAGCATGTCTCTGATGAACGAGTGTATACGCATGAAGGAAGACATGGCCCATACAAATGCCGCAGTCAACAGTGTCCGGATGCAAGTGCAATGGCTTATGAACCCCCGGCTCCATGGGACACGTACAGGAGCTGTCCGGGCCAATACGGGCAATGAAACTCCTCGATCGCCGCTACCTACGTCGTCGGCAGCTGGGTCAAGCAGTACTACTGCTCAGTCTCTAGGGCCCCTTCGACCTAGGAGGCCTAGTGATAGTGGGCGTGAGGGAACCAAGCTATGATACTAGACTTGATGTGTGATTTTGAGCGATGCATTTTTGATATGGATGCGAAGGAGTATTGGGATGTTTTTGTATTCCTTTTATAGTTATGACATGATGATTAGTTGTTGGGAGCGTGGCTCTTTAATACAGTTGGCTGATATAGACCGTTTTGGTTGTTTTGATAAAGATTTATATTTATTTGATGTTAAGAAAAGTCTACTCTCTCTCCTGTCCTTGCGTACAGCACACTCAGACTGAAATATATATTTCGTCAACCACATCTGAAAAGTACCGCACACACTCATCCGCTCCTCAATAGTAAGATAAAATCCAACTCTACTATTTGCAACCACACTCTACTGTACAGAGGCCCAAAAATGTCAATCCACCCAATCCTCGAAAAAAAATCTCGATAGTCATGAAAAACAAAAGCAAAAAAAGAAACGCTCACTCGTGGACGGTGTTTAGGAATAGCCGAACGCGGGGGTCGAACCCGCAGCCTTAAGATTAAGAGTCTTACGCTCTACCGATTGAGCTAGCCCGGCCGGGCTGTTGAAGACAAATGAACTATCATGAATAATATCCAGCGAGGGTAATCCAGCACTCTTTCAGCGAGTCAATTACGGCGGTATTCAACCTGGTAAACGTAGATAGTTTTGAGCGCTTAGAATGCGAGAACCCGCAAGATGATTTTTCTCCACGCATTATGCATTAGGGTTCCATATCATGAATTCACGCGAATCTCTGTACTGAGACCTGATGTACTTGCGGGTCTCACATTCTGAACGCTCTAGACAATCTGTGTTTGCCAGGTTGAATATCATGTTCCCGTCGTTTGTAAGTCACAACCAAGGTGCAGGTGACTGAGATACCAAAGAGTTCGATTGTGGATTCAGTCCACGGTTGGTCGGACTAGGGCGCGATTCTGATCTACCTGCATAGGTAACGTGTATCTATCCATTGCCCAAGAAAGGGAGTAGGATAGTTATTGAAGGACAGGAGAATGAGAAAGGAGATGTGAGGAGAAGATGGGGAAAGGGGCGAGGAGAGAGAGAGAGGGGTTAGGTGGAGTTCAATCGGGGTAGTGTAGGCGACAGGGGTGCAACGTGGCTTACTTCACTTTCGTAGTTGTAGGCTTCATTTGGAAGCTCGAATATTTTTGATTGATTCCGAATCTTAAAGCTGGGAAATATAACACTGTCCTTCATGATTGTCATCAACCCCCTACTCATGCATGGTCTCCTGTCATACCTTTTATCAGATCCCAAGAAGACCACAGACCAGTATGTGTAAAAGATTCTACACTGATGGCAAAGCCACTGTATGGAAAATGTGAAGTATCCAAGTACAATTCATGGATATTTTATGAAATCTATCCTCCCGCAAGCAGAGCGAAACCTAAGAAAGCCCCCTCATTGTCCCGCAATCTTGGGCAAAGAATGCCTCGCCAGCGAGACCAACTTCTCAATGAAAGCCCGTGCCAGATAAAACGGCGGGAAAGTCTGTCCGTCATCATTGGGTTTGTTAAGTTCAGCGAAAAGCCCCGCTATATCCTCCAAAGTCTTCAAATCCCTGATGAATGTCGCTGAAGTTGGGAATGTGATAAGATACCAGAAGACGGAGAATACAGCTGCGAGGAGGAATTGGGCATGGATCCTATCAAAAAATGGGTTAATATATCGGGCTTGGGTGCGGGCTGAAGCCTCTTACCAGAAAGTATGATGGTTCACGAATTGGCGGACTCGCCATATATAGATTAGGGAGGATCGTGCGGCTTCAAAGCATAGCTCTGCACTCGAAGGGAGGGGCGACCAGCTTTGTGGGGATGCTATCCTGCAAGAACTGCTCGCTCCGTGAATCTTGCCTAGACAATAGTAATATTCCATGTGAATGTTCACACCACGGATACTGAGATCGTGGAAGAGGTATTCCGGTGCGCTCTCAGTTGCAAATGCATCAGGCCGACAGTCGACAGGATAACCTTGTTTCAAGTCACTCAATTCTTGATCTAGTTCGCGGATATGTTGAAGGCGTCTTGCTTCGGGCAGGGCTAGACCATGCACTGAATACAAAAGCCGGAAGATCTTCGACTTGAGCAAAGAAAAACGGAGATCTGATGGGAACAGAAGCTCCTTAGATGATAATGGTTTCATGTAAAAGTGGCGTTCTGATGTCTTCTGGGCGTATGTCGTAGGCAGGTCCAAATCGCAGTCGTCATCATTTATCAAAGGTGGTTGGGATTTTCGGATGGAGAATTCTTTGTCGATGGCATAGCAATGCCAGAATAGAGCTCGCAGATGCTGGCTGCGCTGATCTGTCCGGTGTATCTCATGAGGTGTTTGTATTCTGTTTGCACCGAGATTATAGATAAGCTGCACTGCCACGCCAAGGAGTAGTTCTCCTGCTTGGGGTCGGCCAAGAGGAGTGATATAGAGCATCTGTAGCACACAATAAGGTTAGGCGTGAGGGAAAAATAAAAGAAGACTATGTGAAGAGCTTACCATAATTGTCACTGCTTCTAGGGTCCTCAGGTCAGGGGGTTCCAACATGACTTCAGGGAGAAGCGTTAGCGCTGCTTGCATATAAGCATCGGGATCAGAGCCGGCAAAGGCATTCTCATGACGATGAATTTGAGTGATCATTGCAGCAAAGGCAGCCAGACAAGCCCGGTTAGAAGCACGAGTCATGCTTGGCGGCTGGTCTAGAGTATTTGCATTGAGGAGAATCTGCATAGCCTCGACATCGACAATGGGAAATATGGAATAGAGCCCATTCCTGTCAAAGTACTCCAGGCATCGCTGAACCAGAGCAGATGCCGGCCACTTTAACCCAATGGACTTTCTCGATGATCTGAGATGTTGTGATTGGAACGACTGAGTGACCTCATGTGCAAAAACGTCCATATTGAATGTGCACCCCGTCTGCTGTTGAATGAGCGAGTAAAATGATGCTCTTTGGGTCGAAAGAGGACTTCCGAGCCCACAGTATGAAACATGCCATTGGAACGCAGCCAACGCGGTATCAAAGTCGCGTGTATCAGGCAGATAAGTCACAGCCGAAGATGTGTATGAAGAAGCTTGGGAAAGCGGACTGAGCGGCACCGGGGAAGTACCTCTGCCAGGGGGCACCAGCCCACTGTGGCTATGTTTAGTGTGTTCTCGAAATGCAACAAGTTTCGCCTCTAATTCCCGGACACGCGCTTTGGTGTCGGCAAGCTCCCTGGTGCATCCGTTAGCGCTTGTCTTGAGGAAAGCCTAGTGGCGGTCTCACTGCCGAGTACTCTTCCGGAGCTGAGTTGCCGGTGGAGAGAATGTACATGGGAGTCCTGCAAGATGACAATTCTCGCATGCTGGCTCGTTCCTATCACATTTGATCTGGGCAAGTATCATCATTAGGGGGTTGTGCATGTAAAGTGCGTGCGTGGCCATACCTTCCGATGTCGACATAGATCGCAGGCACTCCGCCCTTTCCCGCGTGGGCCAGTAGTGTCATCCATAAAAGCGATTAGGCTCGATAGTGATCCTGTCTCGGGTGAGGCATTGGAAGTCCCAATGGGGAGACAAATGGTGAATTGTTACTGGAGGTCGGAGGACGACGCTGCTCATCGCCGCTGAATCATCAGCCTATTTTGACAGTGTCGAGCCTATTGCAGAGCTAAACAAAAAGTACCACTTTTCATTCACCACTGAGATTGTCGCAGGTGGAACGCCAAGGCCATTTCTGCTTGCGTTGCGTCAAGATTTAGTGTGATGAGTCAGCGGGGAGTCAACCCCCGAAGTTTCATGCTTTTATATTGGCTTGCATTAGAAGATATTAGACAAATACTCGAATACGGGGAAGAGAGAAAAGATTGCATGTATAAATCTATATAGACTGAATATGGATAATGCACACGGGTGGTTGTGACTCTAGATGGCTATACTACCTACCATCTATAAGAATCAGTATCGAGTCTGCACCCTCCGTGCTATCCGTGAAGTATGGACTATTGGCTCGATTCCTAGTAACCATCCAGTATCCACGTATATGTAACTGCTAGGCCTCGGCCTTAGCGTCGGAAACATACCGGTCTTTATGCCATCTTTTATGCCATTTCTACGGGCATTCAGCGTTCAAATGATGAACCTTCTTCTACTTATTGAATCAAACTCCGGACTTCCTCATCCGCATTTGAGCTGAAAGAGTGTTGTACGAGATATTAGGGCCATTGCATATACACGAGATAAAACCGCCCTCAGCAAGTATCGAAGACAACAGACCTTGGGACCATCCTGACCTTATTTGCTATTCCTCCCACCGCTCCTCTACAGTGAGTGTTTCGAAGTACCATACTTACCCACACTGGAAGCCTTGACTGCAGATCACCAAAGCCACAAAGTCAGGAACCAAACTCTCATTGCTCCTATAGGTCCACCTCCCCGGAGCTTGTCTTCGAGGTCCAATGGACATGGCCTTGTTCGTCAGCCCAATTTGCTGCAGAATCTTCGGCATCGTCACCACATATCTAAATAGACGCAACTTGATTAGATGATTGCTTGCCAAGAAGACTGCTTTTTATCCACTACTGTCCTAGATCACCATCTGGCTGACGACAACAATGACGACTCAGAAGCTGTTGATATTGACAAGAAGGACCCCCGAGCATGATTTACGATGGGAAATAATAATATAAAGGCCTTCAATTCCTCAGTACCAGACTGAGTTATCTAACCGCAGAAACATTTCTTCTTACAACACTCAATTTCCCAACCTCTCCACTGAGACAATGTATTTCTCCAAGGTTGCGCTTCTTGCCTTAACTGGCCTCGCTGTAGCCCATCCCGGTGTCCACGAACACAGCTCTTACACCAAGGTCACCAAGAGGGACTTTTTGCAAAACGCCCGCCGAAGCCTCGACCAGTGTGCAGACCACCTGGAGCGTCGGGGTGTCAACTCTCGCGCTGAAGCCCGCCGTGCTGCCATCCTCGACGCCAACAAGAAGCGAGCCATCTTCCCCCGCGATACAGACAAGGTCGTGAACACCTCTCACCACTCCACCCTGAAGGTCACTTCCAACACCTCAGAGACAGACCTCTTCTCCCAGAACCCCACCTGCATCCTCTCCCCTGATGGAGAAGTCGGACCCTTCTGGGTAAAGGGAGAGCTTATCCGCAACGACGTACGCGATGGCCAGGCCGGTATCCCTATCATTATCGACGGCCAATTCATCGACATCAACACCTGCGAGCCAATCCAGGACCTGTACTGGGACGTATGGAACTGCAACTCCACCGGTGTCTACTCGGGAGTCCAGAGCGACATGAACGGCAACGGCAATGACGCCACAAATCTGGACAAGACCTTCCTGCGTGGTATCCAGAAGACCGACTCTGACGGCGTTGCCCAGTTCAAGTCTCTGTTCCCAGGTCATTACTCGGGCCGTGCTACCCACATCCACGTTATTGCCCATACTAAGGCTCATGTCCTGCCCAACAACACTCTGACTGGCGGCCATATCTCGCATATTGGTCAGCTATTCTTTGATCAGGACCTTATTACCAAGGTTGAGTCTACCTACCCATACAACACTAGCACTGTGGCTGTCACCGAGAATGGTGATGACCATGTTGTTCAGGTTGAGACTGAAGACTCGAACTCTGATCCTTTCTTTGAGTATGCTTATCTTGGTGACTCTATTGAGGATGGTATTTTGGCTTGGGTTACTATGGGTGTGAATGTGTCTGCTAGCCACGATTCGGATGCTAGCTACGCTGCTAGACTCACTGCTTCTGGCGGTGTAAGCTCAGGGAGCTCAAACTCTTTCTAGTCAGTTCATTAGCATTACACCTCTTTCGCAGAGAAAGGTCCAATACCTGAAATCCCCAGTGGCCAGCTTTTGCTTTTGACTCTTCGAACCGTTGCAATTATTATACACTGTTTAGTCTATATTTTAACAACGAATCACACTCCTTCAAGATAACCGCATAAATATCTTCAGACGAACAAACAGTTGTATGACCACCTAAACTCGAGGGTAGAACCATACAATCCAAATATAAACAAAGAAACCAAGAACAGAATGAAAAAGAGCAAGAACCTATCAACCTCCAAACAATCCATCCAAATCAACCCGACCTCGCAATATTAAGATGGAAAACACCATCCCACTCACAACTCTCCAAAGGCTCCTCAGCTCCCTTCTCACACTTCCACGATTCACCCTTCAAAGTCGACCTCCCACTCTCAGAGCCATCAGCCCGAGCAATACCGAAGTCAAACTCCTCAATGTTATAAATCCCATTGGGAAGCTTGAGCTGGTATGCCTTATTGGTACAATTGTAGGACATATTTCCAGCTTGGCCGATTGACCTGAATCAAAATTAGCTCTATGAACTTCTACTTTTGTTGAGACTTTATTGCTGTAAATGTTAGGAGAGGTAGAAGGCTGATGTGGAACTCACCAGTAAGAAGAGCATTTCGTTTCAATGTTGGTGTTTGGGTCCTTTAGAGAAAAGCCGAAAAGTGTAGTTTGGGGCATTGTTGTGAAGGGGATTCTTGCGCTGACGTCGGTGAGCTCAAGAGGCTTTAGGGCTTGGGTTTGGGGGTTGGGTGCGGCCATTGTGGTCGCGGCGGTGGCCAGGGCGAGTGCGGACATCGAAGAGAACTTCATTGTTGGCTTGGTTCTTGCTTGTACTTTCAGGTACAATATCGTACTCTGGAGCTAGGGATGTGTAGTTGACTTGTTGATATGAGAAGTATATCGCTGGTGACTTTCACCCTTTTATACTTCAACTCTCAATCCAGTTTACTCATGCGGTTCAGCTGCCAGAGACAGACACGAGAAACACCTACGTAATACCAAGGCTGTGTCTTTCTATTAAAGTAGAGTTACATTCAGGCTTTGGAACATTCGGTCGCCTGAGACCCAGATGACCAAATAGCAACTGGTTGTAGGATCCCGCTGAAACAAAGCTGGGCGCCTCTACCGGACGCCTCACGGGGTAAGTGCTATTTCGAAGATAAGGCTCCAAAGTGGAATAAGCATTAATCCGCGCTTACTTTCAATTACTACTTTCTAAAATAAGAAAAATATTCTAGGCAGTGACGATTGGCTCCGACGATTCGGCTTAGGCGTCCAGCCCACGAGGATGGGTCGGATCAACACAATATGGCTTCTTTAGTGAACTACTAGGAAAAGATACTATACAAATAGTATGCTTACAAACAAGCGACTAAAAGAAGAACGGGAAGAAGAGAAATGTGATATACAAGATGAATTACATAAAGGTAACATAGAGGAAGTCTAATATGTATTATCAGAGCGTTTAGGCCTAGAATAACTTTAAAAAGCCACCACTACTTTCTTTAACTTGTGAAGTAAATCTGTACAGGGCCGCTCGAAATTAGTTTCACCGCTTTACTCTCATGGATACTTTCTAGAACCCTTTCTCGAAGCACGCTAGCCTATTACAGTTAGTCTGCCTCTGACCCCTGTTCTTGGCAGTATCAAAATACAATCGTAAATAACAATATAAAAATAGCTATAGTATTAGACTTGTACGGTCTGTTGAATGTCCAGAACAAGTTTCTGCAAACATGCAAAACAAGAAGGGCGCCTGTCTGGTCAGGCTATCTGGCCAGATCTCACATTCTCTCCTTCGTTCAACCTCTCAGCTTACACAGGAGTGACCGATACTGCTGAGCGAAGCGTATAGAGACGGTATCGGTGGGATGAACACTTTCCTATGCTTCTTGCAACAATGCTGGCCTTCTGATTGAGGACCCAGTATCCGGTGAACTTATAGGCAAAATTGTGCTGACGTTGGATTCGTTAGACCTTCAGAGCAACGTGGATGGCTTCTAACTCATATTCCAACGGCAACGACTTCCAACCCTTACCTGCCTCGAGATACGGCCTCAGACCTTCACCGGGCCACTACACCCAGAACGACCTCGGAGAACTGCTGACGCTGACGTCGGCACCACGATCCAGCAACATCTGCACCACATTTTCATGGCCTCCAGATGATGCGGCCTGGAGTGCACTGCCATATTGTCCACTCTGGGCGTTGGCGTCGGCACCATGATCCAGCAACATCTGCACTACCTTTTCATGGCCTCCAGATGATGCGGCCTGGAGTGCACTGCCATATTGTCCACTCTGGGCGTTGGCGTCGGCACCATGATCCAACAGCATGCGCACCACCTTTTCATGGCCGTTGGTTGATGCGGCCTGGAGCACATTGCCACCACGTAAAGGCTGGGCGTTGACGTCGGCACCTCGATCTAACAGCATGCGCACCACTTTTTCATGGCCCCTAGATGATGCGGCTTGGAGAGCATTGACAGAGAATCCAAACTGGGCGTTGACATCGGCATCTCGATCCAACAGCATCTGCACCAACTTTTCATGCCCTTCAGATGATGCGGCCTGGAGTGCACTGCCTTGTCCACCCTGGGCGTTGACATCGGCATCTCGATCCAACAACATCTGCACCACCTTTTCATGGCCCCTGAGCGATGCGGCCTGGAGTGCGCTGCCATACATTCCACCATGGGAGTTGACGTCCGCCCCTCGATCCAGGAACATCTGCACGGCCTTTTCAAGGCCCCTGAGCGATGCGGCCTGGAGTGCGCTGCCATATAATCCACCCTGGGCATTGACGTCGGCACCTCGGTCTAGCAGCATCTGCACCACCTTTTCATGGCCTCCGTATGATGCGGCTTGTAGTACATTGCCGTACACTCCAGCCTGGGCGTTCACCGTTTTCAATGGATCCGCATCTCTAGTATCGATTTGTAGAATACTGTTCAAGACAGATTCTAATCCCAACAAGGCTGCGTAGTATAGAGGGGATGCCTTATCCGCAAGCAGAAGCTTCGCACCAGACTCCCAACAATGGTCAATGTCATATAATCGAACCCACATAGAAAAAGACTCCGTCTCGTCTTTGAAAAGCTTTAGCACTAGTTGCTCCATCCCTGAGTTCCCCTTCCCAGAGTTTGCATAATAATGGAACCAGTGCCTAGCGGCGAAGCGCGCCAGCGGAAACTCCGTGAGTTCCTTTTCACCTGATGGACCCCTAGATAGACTTGGCTCCAAGAGGTAGACCAGACAGATCCGGGCAATTTCTTCATTCGCGGTTGCGCTTTGAATGGCGAAAATTTTGGACTTTTGTTGTAAGATGCGATCTGATTGGAGATACTCCTGGACAGAAAAATGGGCTATGCGAGCAGTCAAGGTGCTTTGCCCATCTTTGCTTCCCGTGGCAGTAATTTCAATAAGTCCAAGGCAGATGTCGACAAGATCGTCTTGCTCGTACGAACGACCGTCACGATCGATGTGTGGCGGCTCACTTAGATCAACAGCGTGTGCATCGATCAGCTCTTTGATCGTGAGCGGTCTGGTGGAAAAACAAAGCACTGTCAATACCCGCCGCACGTCCTCAACATATTCATGTGCAATATTGCACAATATTCGCTCGTATGTTCCATCTAGGCCACGGGGCAATATGCGCAGGCATCCATCAAGTTGCTTCCCGTTTTTTGCCCGCCGAAGGGAGTTAAACTAACATTCCACGTATCTGAAGCTATATGTCATCTCAGTCAGAATAATGCAGACAACATTGCATTGTTGAGACACCTACACTCCTTGTGCACGCGTTGTTAATTTTGTTTGAATCTCCTCGTGACGCTCTTCCTATCTCTGGAGTTTTAGGTCGTTCTTGAGCTGATAAGAGATAAAATCCGCTATGTCTCTGTCGGTTTCCGAATTCCTCAGCGAAAGGTCTTGGTCATGATAAGGATTTAACGATTCGCGGATATCAAGCTCGTTGCGACTCGTCACCAAAAAATGGACACCAGGTATTAACCAACTACGTATCACTTAGATCGCTTTTAAGACGCCTTCCCTTTTGAGTCTCGAGGACTCTCGTCTAGCGCGTCGAGTAGGATATAAGTATCGTAGAGTCGTTCAAGAAAGCGTCGAAGTGAGTCAAGCAGAGCATACACTAGGGGAGACCCGGATTTATACAATGCATGTAGCCTTTCTAGATCTCTCTCGCCGTCTTATAGTTATACCGATAGCTACAACAGCAACGTGCGTAACATGCCGTTATCGTCTTGCTTTGCCTCCTCGTTAAAGGAAAAGTAGAAAAATGCGATTCCAACTCCATGTTTATGCCTCATCTCACGAAACGTATGCTGGATTGCGGTTAAGCAGAGGACCGACTTTCCACATCCTGCGAAACCATTCAACCATAGGAAGGAATTGCGTTCCTCTAGCCACGTCCGAAAGTGATAGCCGTTGACGAACCATAGCCCTGTGCTTGGGTGACATTTCGCACACGCCGCGTTGTGGTTGAGAGATACATCCGGCGCCATAAGCCAGCAACGAATCGCGAGCGAGACTTGGCTAGCATTTGTTTGCTCGACAAGTGATTTGACTTCCGATATGCCATCTTGAATCTGCCTCTGGCTTTTGAGCTGCAGGACATCAAGCGCAAATAACAGGTTTTCACGTATATCGCTGACGTCTTCTTCGAGCTTCTGTAGGGTACTCTTCCGAAATGGATAGGCCGCACGACGTCCAGCAACCTTAACACGAACCTTTAAACCGGCAGTCGAATCTTCGTGGAATTCCCGACACTCGCTTTGCAGCTCGGTGATGATTTCCTCGCATTGCTGTACCGCCTTCTCGACTTCTCGGAGTAGATCTTGGGTGTCGGCCTGCGATCGGCGTTCCTCTACTGCAATATCGAGGGCTCGAAAAATGCCCAGAAGATTGTCGAGCTTCTGCGTAACCTTTGCCAGATCGGTGTCTTGGTCCTTGTATGTAGTGTAAAAACTGAGCAAAGACTGGGTGACTTGAATACCAAGCGAAAGCAGCCCGGCAATCCCTGATGCGATTGTGAGTGGATCAGCCATCGTGATCGATAGTAGTTCCTGAGACCAGGGATACAGGCAATTCAGCCGTCAATTAAATAGATGGCATAGCCGCAATCTCATGGCTGAGCTCTAGTTTCATCGAGCAGGGCACAGCCACTTTGATGGATGCCCAAAGTGGGGCTAAGCATGGGCGATGAGGGCCCTGTTGTATGAGTATTTCCAGCCAGTTAGGGTGTTTGTTATCATGTGATTTTGTGTTACATTCCATTACAAGATGCCTGAAAGGGGCCTAAGCTAAACACGGACTAGTGTGTTTCATAATAGGGTTCGGGAAAGATCGATGTGAAAAGAGCGGTGAAACTAATATCGATCCACTCTGTATGATAGGACCCCAGTGCGAGTTGCTTATATGGTTGTCATGCTAGTTCGGTTTCTCCGTCCAGAACAAGCACTACCTAGCCTGGTATGTCCACAACGTAACTTAAGATCAAGTAGTTAAACTGATAAACCTATATTATATAATACTCTTGTAACACTCAATAAATTAACGCTCAATATAGAAAGACTTGATACCTCAGACCCTGGTTAGTAGCAAGCTTCAATGGCTGCACACGTATTATGCACACCAAATGCGCAAGTTGAATAATTGATCATCTCTAGTTTACTGCCTTCTCCTCAAAATATGCAAAGCTCCTATGGAGGATCTATTGCGGGGATCTATTGTAGCGAACATCATTCATCATATTCATCATTCATCTATTTTGATATGTTCGAGGGATATAGAGGACAAGAAAGCCAGAGTTTGCGCTGACAGTCTTCGCGATACAAAGCAAACATTGGCAGGTACATGAATAGGACAATGGCTCGCAGAATACTCCGAGCAAACGAATCAAACGTAGTGAAATGACCGTCACTTGAACTCGACTTTCTGAGCACAAGCAGCCAAACTTCCCAGTCCCACCGTCATCGTTAACTTCGTCTCATTTCTCATCTTCGCTCCATGTCATTGTTTGATCACTGTATTCACTGCGTCTATCATCAAAACCACGATCCAACTTTCATCAACGACTCCTCAAACCCTCCTCAATATCTGTGCTCATGGTGGTGGGCGTGGCCGCGGGAGCCTTGCTCCGCGTACGACTGAGAAGAACCATGCTGGACATTGTCATAGCCGGTATTCGGATTATACTCTGGCTGGATGTGGCCCCCTTGCGAGTCACCAACCGCGTGAGGTTGTGATCCATATTCATAACCGCCACGCGGCTGCTGGCCACCATCTTCACCAATGTCACGAGTCAGACCGCCAGGAATAAAGTTCGAGATTTTGCTTTCGAGTTTGTTCAGGTTCGACATGCCTGGGATTGGGAGGGAGGAGAGTTTTTCCCAGGGCAGACCAGAGGAGGAGGAGTGATTTGAAGAGGAGCTGTTTGATTGTTGTTGGAAGAAAGACGAGAAACCACTCGATGATTGACCGTGGCTTTGGGCATTGCTGTTACCGTGTCCGTGCTTGTTTGGCTTTTGACCCGCCAGTGTTGGGAATCCGCCATGGCCGCCACTGTGGGTATGGCTGACGCCGCCAGTGTTACGGCCTAACCTGACACCCTCCGAGCTAAGGATGTCATTCAGAGAAGCGCCACGGTCTGAACGAGAGTGGACCCAGGTCTGGACGGCCTCGAACATCGACCGGTGAGCCTCATTGTGCATATCACGCAGGGCGGGGTGGTGGAAGACGCGCATGCAATCTTCCAGAACCTGGTGCTCAGGGACGTCGATGTGTTGCCAAGCATAGAGGATGCGAGGAGCGACATACTGCACAATGGCAGAGGCGACCTGACCAGCGGGCTCGTTAAGCACATTGGCGAAATGATCCTTTGAGAGCAGGGAGTGGGTGGGATCAGTGCAGTGAGGATCAGTCCAAGGTTCGTACTGGTGCTTGCCCGAGGCGTCAATGACACCCGCTGACCCGGTTTGCAGGGACTTGGAAGCCGCCTTGATAAGAGGGCGCACGAACGGCGCCAGCAGCGACATGATCACGACAGTAAGAGTCTCAGAGATCTTCTCAACAAGAGACTCGAGCCCGGGGATCTTTTCAATAATCGAGTCGAGCTTGCGCACGACCTTGTCGCGGAATGCCAGAATGGGATATATCTTGGCAACTGTTTCCTGCGGGTTGAAGTCGGGCATGCCCTCGAACCCAGTGCCGGGTCCTGATCCCCCAGAAGATTGGTTGCCACCCGAAGCACGAGTGGTCTCTGCATACCCCGTGGCAACACTACGACTCCGATTAGCAGACTCCTGGGCGGCTGATGACCTCTTCAAACTCTCAGCCTCGGAGACAAGATCCTTGGTACCAGGGATCTTGCCGAGCAGACCAGTCAGAGCATTAAGAGAGTTATTAGACTGAGCATTCGTCTCAGCATCCCCCAAAGCAATATCCATCTCATTGACCTCAGATTGCGTGAAATGATCCGTAGCCTCTCCCAGCACGGAATGGAAGAAATCAACCATGCCAAAGGTCCCAGTGACAAGCGGGAAAACGCGCTTCCCAAGGATATTACACTCAGTCGCCACGCCAGTATGCGGGAACACATTGCGCATGCCCATCTCGCGCAACGCCAGCTCGATATAGTTGGTATGCGCGGCGAAATCTTCCAACGTGTGCAGTCCCTGTCCCAGACACCGCAGCGCTTCAGACAAATCATTCTCGTTGCCCTTGTTCTGCCCACCATGGATGTATGTTCGTCCGTAGTGGATGCTGCGGCTCATGCTGAACTTGATGTATGCCGCGCTGGTGGCCCAGTCGCCTCGTTCGTTGGCGATATAGTTCTTCATTCCGCTGTTCGGGTCGATTTCAAGTTCGATATTGCGAACGGGTGGGCGCAGGCGTTTATCGTACTGGCGTGCATCTTCGTTGTCTGCATAATCCTTGGGATTGCTACATGATCAAAAATTATTAGCAAGATGTCGCCTTTTCTTGACGCGCAGTCATTCATATCTTATTTCACACTCACTCGATATGTTCCTCCGGACGATAAACACCCAATCGATCAGACGTCACTTCGAATTCACCCGTCGCATACCCGAAGCTCAGGAACGAAAGGACCCACACCAGGACGCGGATAGTCTCGGCCTGCAGACTTTTGAGTGTGCCGACGTCCATTGCCTGCGAGCTACAAAACAAGTCAGCTTGTGCTAGTTTCTGGCTTATTTCCTGGACTCACTAATCCCGCAACCAGTTGCCGAAATATACACGCTTGATCATGGTTGCGGTCCATTTGTGGCCGTGGATGAATGCCAGCGTCTTGAGAACATCTTCGATGTCGCCATGGCGCCAGTTCTTGCCTTCGACAGCAGAGATAGATGCGATATCTAGGAATTGTCAGGAACGTTTTTTTACCCTTGTAGATCTATGGAAGGAGGGTACATACTGCCAGCTCCGAATGCGTGCACCTGCGGGAGGATTAGGAGCAGCACCAGCAGAGCGGAGCCCGCGTGGAGGAGGGGCATGGTGGGGGTTTGCTGTTCGGGTTTTGTGCAAGCTGGGGGCTAGAGGACTTTGGAGGATATGAATGAAATATAAAACAGAATAGAGTCAAATGCGAAAGAAGTTACTGTGAAGCAGAACCAAAAAAATAAGCGCAGCCCTGTTGCTCAGCCTCTTGGCTCTTGGCACGGTGATCCCAATGACGTTGTGCTGAACTACTCACAATAGGGGCAGATTCAGGCTGTGCTAGTGATATTATTATCTTTCCTTCTATTTTTGTCCTTGAATAAGCTCCATGCAGCTACCTAATAGCTGCCTAAGACTCCGTACATAAACCTATGTGGCACTGCCGAGGTACAAGTTACGGAGGATAATCACTTGCGAACACCGAACTATCGTTTCACCACTTTGCTCTCATAGAATCTTTCTCGAACCCTAAATAAGCTGATCCATTTCCGACTTGGCTCGGTGATATTCAAGTATCTATCTTGCCTACGCACCCATATCCAGCTTCTTCGTTTTCTATTGCCCCTTCGTTTCCCATTACCATTCAGTTTCGCGTTTCTCTTCCGTTTCCCATTCTAGCAGTGTTTTAGAATTAGATAAATTAATCGGATGGCTTAGACCAAGTCGCTGTTTTCACTTGGCTAAGTAACTTCGTAGCAGGTTGATGGCTTCGGAATCGTAGCCTGAATATTTCCAAGTGATAGCAAGTTTAGCCATACTGGCCAGCGTGTCGGGATGTCCTCGCCGATCCTTCGTCTTGCTTCTTTCCACATTTACACCTGGAGCTGCTGGGCCTCCTCCCACCGGCCCACAAGGCTATACGCTTCCGCCAACATGTGCTATAAGCGACTTTCCTCATGCTCTTCGCCGAATAAGAGCACCCTTTATTTTCTTGATCTGAATGCCATTTCATGTATATCAGCGACATTACCGCTTTCCGACTAATGCATCGAGACATCGTGTCACGTGATCCAGGATAGATCTGAGCATAGTAAGCTAGTTAGCCTGAAGAGCAAGACTTCTTCCTCTCTCCATCCTTCTCTACCGATAAAATTGACATATTATTGCTTCCTTTCCAGTAGTCAAGAGATATCCGATTTGCAGAGCAGTGGCTGCAAGATATCTTCGGTAATGCTATCATGTCTTGGCTGGAATGAAAGCGATTATGCATGTACCTTGTTCTCTAGAAAAAATGTGCTACATACTGTACATAACATTTGCTCGCCAACTTCCGATGCGCGACTGTGGTACGCGCAATAGAGGAGGAAATAGATAACGGAGCGTGGATCAAACCATATCTCTCCCCACACCTCTCTAAGAACCTCCCAGAACATTATACCAGGCTTTATAGTAGTTTACAATGACTCACTGAACGATGAAACCCAGGACGGTGCTAGATGCGATACGACTTTGCAGGGGTTGGTTATATATTAAACCAATGCGAACTAGCAGGGGGCTACTGGCCCAAGAAACAAATGATGTATGTGCAGAGGAGAATCTAAAAGAACACCACCTACAAAAAAATAATCAGGGAATCCCTGCACCAGCCTCTTGAAGTTTATATACAGTCTACCTTATGACGCAATCATAACAACTCCCCAGGTTCCACACGGCTAGGTACCTTGGAACTCTAGCGTCATTAGGTCCACTTAACTTGCAAAAACGCGCTTTACAGCCTTCTATTGGCCATGTAGCCTGTTGATGATGAACCATGGCCCCAGCACGGTGAGAACGGGCGGGGGATCTAATATATGAATGGCAACTAGTATAACACTTGAACGCCTTCAGTAGGGCATTTCGTACTTCCCCGGAGTGTATTACTCAGACGACATGGTCGACGAGGAGAAAAGCACACAAGACTCGGTCCAGCGCGAAGCAGCCCAGAGGGGTCTCCAGAAGACTGATTCCAATTCGTTTACATGGAACACCGACCACAAAGACTTCCCACGTAATTGGACACTCTGGCGCAAAACCTACGACGGGCTGCTCATTTTCTTCCTGGAATTTTTTACGACCGTCATCAGCACGACGGGTCCATCAGCCACCGAGCCTGCTATGAAAGAGTACAGACTGAGCAGGGTGATCGCTTTGACGTGTTTCCAATTCATGTATGGCATAGGACAAGCTCTTGGAGGGCTAGTCATGCCGCCCTTCTCCGAAACGCTAGGTCGACGGAAGTCCTACTTGTTTTCGGCAGCTTTATACAGCATTTCGTCTCTGTTAGTCGGGATCGTGCCTTCACCTGTAGGTGTCATTGTTTGGTCGGTTCTTCTCCGGATTTGCGTCATCTGTGCCATCTATCGTGCTCGCAGGTAGCATCGAGGATCTATACTCAAATAGGAGCAGGCTGTGGTTCCTCTGGCTATGGAACTGCAGTACCACGTTTGGTATGTGTCTGGGCCCGATATATGGGTCGTACATTGCTACCAGTGCCGGTTGGTATGTTTCTTGAATCAAATGCTCATGGAACTGGCCGTCTTATTTAAGCTAACGTTAACAGGCGGTGGATCTTTCATACATCAGCTATCACTTCCGCCGTTTTATTTGTTCTCCTTTTTGCCGTCAAAGAGAGCCGGCCAACCAAACTGCTTTCGGAACGATTGGATAGTCTGCAGTCAGAGGTCGGGAGTCTTGACTTGGATCTTACCAATCCAGATCGCCCTACTCGCCCGTACGAATTCTTGACTGTTATACTCCTACGACCAGCCCGGTTAGGTATGACGGAGCCTATAATCATTCTTGTCGCGTCCATTAGTGCGACGGTATGGGGCATGGTATATCTCTTCACGGAGAGCTTCACAGTCGTTTACAGCCAGTTTGGCTGGGCTGAAACGTCCACTTCGCTGCCTTTTATTGCTCTGTTACCCGGTGTTTTACTTGGCGGCTTCGTTCGCTTGTGGGACCAACATCAAATGAACAATAGGCAAAGGAATGGAGTTAGCCCTAAGCCTGAAGACAAGATCAACGGTTTTGCAATTGCAGCTCCAGCACTCGCTGTCGGGCTCTGGGTTTTTGGCTGGACAGTCCCACCACTGGTTCACACGCACTGGATCGTTTCCATGTTCGGTCTTGCCCTGATTGGTTTTGCTGTGAATGAGTTCGCATACACTCTAAGCGGCTACATTGCTGACTCGTACACAATTTATGCATCCTCAGGCCTGGCCGCTGTGGCTTTCCTACGAGGAACATTATCAGGGTGCATGCCCTTGTTTGCCTACCAGATGTACTCTGGGCTTGGTTCAAATATTGCAACTAGCATCATAGCAGCAGTCGCGACATTGTTCTGCGTGACACCGTATATATTCCTCAAGCATGGCCTGCGGCTTAGAGAAAGAAGTCGGTTTGCAAGGTTTAGTGCGGAGATGAATGAGCGACAGAACATTGACTGAATAGGGCCAGCACCATTAAGCGGTGCTGGACTTCGCGGAGATGTCACAGTGGCTTCAGACTCGCGCGCCTTAAGAGAAGCCTAACGACGAGAGCGGCGATGCGGCCACGGCCGGCCTCGCACTAGCAGACCTTTCGTTACCAGGAAGTGGAACGCTTTACATGTACGTACAAACGTATATACATTTGTGGTAGCCTGAATATCGTATAGGGCTTTTCGAAGCCTAGCTTCAAATAGCAACAGACGATCTGTCATATGCTACGATTATAAATATTCGCAGAAACTTGCGAGAATTTGGAAGTGTCCACGCACCCCTATCTCGAATGGGACAAAAGGGGATCGTGACACCACTGACGAAGTGCTCTGCGATCGGACAACCTGTGGGAATTTCAGCCTATACGTCGACAGACGGGAAAGGGAGCAACAATTGACACATTGCTCCCTTTCCCGTCTGTCAAGAGCTTTGCCCTAGTACCTTCGCCTACGGACATATATCCAACATCCAGTTCTTTGAGAGTTTCCCGATGCTTAAGAAGCATATCCTTGACCATTTGCAGATCAATATAGAAATGAACTTTCAGCCCCTTCAGACCAGGGACTCGGACCTGTAGCTCCCTGATAACCTCGGCAGGTCACTCCAGAGGGCAAGTGGTTGGTAGAATGGGGATTCGAATTCCTGCCACGTCTCCAAACGAGCAGGCGTCCGTCTGTTTGGCTTGTTTGCTGGATTAACGAAACCCTGGAGACCTTACGATTCCAATACAGGAGCTATTCTTAAGCTTTTATTTACGACTGTACTGGAATACTGCCAAGAAAGGGATTCAGGGGGCAGAGTAACCGTAGGAGGTATAGCGTGTTTCAAAAGAGGGTTCGAGAAAGAATCTCTGAGAGGAACCGGTGAAATTGGTTTCGATCCATCTTGTAACTAAAACTAACCCTAACAGCGATATAATTGTTATTTGTTGATATATGGTCGTATTGGATCCACGGTAGTATTGAGAGTCCATAGACACGGTAACATCAACCCCGCATAAAAACATGTCTCCGATCTCACCACATTCATATATATACTTCTACTTCTACTACTACATCTACATCTACTCTACACTTTACACTTCCACACATCTACAATTCCACTTCTACTTCCTTTTCATACTCCCTCACACACATACCATGACAACTCCCCACCTCGACGCCCTCCGCCGCGACGGCTTCGTAGTAGTCCGCAACCTCCTCACCCCAACAGAAGTAACACACTACCGCGAAATCGCCACAAAAGCAACAACGCTCACAAGAACCGGAAGCTGGCCACACTTCCGCACGGTGCCCAAACAATTCCCCCCATGGCCGACAACCCCACCACCAGCCTCAGAGGGCGGAATCTGGGGCGTACAGCACCTCCTGCATCCCGAGATGCCGGGTCGGGACAGTTTCGCACGGTGTTACTTCTCACCCTCGATCCTGGCAGTTGCGGAGGAATTGATGGGTGTGGACAGTACAACTTCTGCTTCCGTTGAACCACTTGTGATGGAATTATTCAACCTCCTCGTCGCGCCCGAAACGAAAGATTTCGAGCTGCGCTGGCACCGCGATGATATCTCTGAGCATGCAACGGCCGACGAGGAAATCGCTCAATTGGCTGCTAAAGCGCCCAATGGGCGGCAGGGTCATTGCCAGTATAATCTGGCGCTTTGTCCGGATTCGTCGTTGATTGTTGTTCCGGGAACGCATGGGCGGGCGCGGACGCAGACGGAGCGCGAGGCAGATCCTTATGCTGCTTCTTTGCCGGATCAGCTTGTTGTTGAGCTTCAGCCTGGGGATGCAGTGTTTTATAATAGTAATATTTTGCACCGCGGGGTTTATCGGGGGAAGGAGGAGGGGGTGTGGAGACTAGGTTGACGCTTCATGGGAGTATTGGGTTGAAGGCTTTGGGTGGGGATGGGGAGCGGGACGGTGATGTCGAGGAGAAGAAAAAGATTAGGGCTACGGCTGTTTTGCAGCATGGGGTTGGGGCTTGGGTTCATCGCGATGATGCTGCTTTTGGGGTTGGGGAGAGGGCTGAGAGGATGAGGGCTAATCTTGTTGAGATGGGGACTGGGGAGGGGGTTGGGTTTTCTTTGCAGGGGTAGATGGTGGTTTTTGATGGAGATTGAGCTGTGTATTTAGTGAGTTCTCTGTATATCTGAGATCTTGCATAGCAAATGTATATGTATATGTAAATGTATATGCATTTGTATTTGAACCCTACTTGGATCGGTCTATCTCTAGGATGTACTGACACTCCCGCGTAGGTTTACACCACTAGGCAACCCAAAAATCTGCGCAGCACTATCCACCACACAAGACGCAATACTCCCACCCCCAGACCCCTCAGTCAGACAGCCGCCGACATGCTCGTTCCGCAAATGACCAGTAACATAGTGCGACCAAGTCGTGCGAGCACCATCACACTTGGCGAGAGAAACTCTCTTCCCATTCTCTGAAGCAGCAAGACAAGCCGTTCGATCAGACAGTGGACTCAAAGCCAGCTTGCTCCCTTTAGCATCAACACTCCAAACCTGAGAGTCCAAGGCACGGCACTCTTCAAAGGTGGCTTTCCCAGAAGAAGCCGTCATACACAAACCAGACGGAGTGTGAAATACCATTCCCGTAGGTATGATAGCAGCGCAATGCTTCGGTGTGATACGGTAGACACTGGTAGCATGCGAATCGAGCTTGATATCAACAGCAGCATGTATAGTCGAAACATGACCGGTCCAGAGATTGCGAGCGCGGTACTCGCAGTGTGACTGAGACGACAAACCAAGACGGGCAAGAGAAACACTCGTCCTCGCAGTTGTATTGCCGCGGTTCAGCACAGTGAGAAGTCTATCCCCATTCGCCAACGAGCGAGTCAGCACGTCGAAGGTCCCATCACGACTAACCAAAGCAGCCTGCTCAGCCAAAGGATCCTGATCAACCTCAATAAGAGCAGAATTGCTAAGATAGGCAATATCCTCATCAGACAGCGCAGGAATATAAGCACTGATAATAAGCGGCGCAGAAAACGAAGCCCAGAGCGCAAAATGCGACTCCTTTTCAACCTGTGTCAAGCCAGGATGATCAGGAATCAGGAAATCAGGATCATTATAATACCCGGGAGCCTGGTAGCGCACCAGCAGGGTATTATAGTCATAATTATTCATAATACTATCCCAAGCACTGCCCTCGCCAACGTAAACCAAAACATCAGTCGAATGTCTCGCCAACTCGCCATAACGAGGCACCCAATCCATAACAACAGCCCAATCAGAGGCATTGTCCGCAAAATAAGCCGGCGCAGACTCAGAAAAGGTTAGCGGTTTCTTCATTCCACTGAGTATATCATGCCACTGCCCATAGCGCACACGATACTCCTCACGAAGCGACCGACCCCCTCAGCCCAGACATTACACCCATCCAACTTAAGATAGTCAATCCCCCAGCTAGCGAATGTCTCCGCGTCCTGCTGTTCATACCCATAAGAGCCCGGGTACCCGCCACAGGTTAGATTCCCGGCATCTTCATAGATCCCAAGGTGGAAGCCATGATTGGCGGCGTACTCCGCCAACCAGGGAATGCCGTGCGGGAATAAGGTGGTATTCCACTGCAGCGAGCCGTCGGCGGCGCGGTCATGGCGCATCCAGCAGTCGTCTAGATTGAGGCGGTTGTAGCCTGCGCGCTGGAGACCGCGGGTGAGCATTGACTGGGCTGTTTCTGTGAATAGGGTCTCGTTCAGATCGCACATGAATCGCGCCCAGTTGTTGAAGCCCATTGGTGGGGTTGGGAGGAGAGTTGGGGTCTCTGTTGACGCTTGGGCTGGGAGTAAGGGAAGCATTAGAAGGTTGGCTATACTTTGTGTCGACCAGGGAGACATTATTTTCATTTTGAATGGGGTCAATTGGGGTGACCTTCAGATGATGGGTTAGAGTGAGAGTTTGGACTTTGAGACTGGAGAGCTGGGGGGGGAGGGATTGGCTGTACTTGTGCCCAGCAGGGGTTAACTTATATGCCCCTGACTATGTTCTGCATCTCAACATTTCCCCGCACCAGCGTCCCATTGCGATCTCAAGAGACATTAGCAATGTGACGGTGGCATGGGAATAGGACGTTGAGTGCATAAGTGCGTAGGGCAGGGATGGAGACGATTTCCAAGATCTGCAGGTGGAGAGCGGTATCGAGCTCGTAAAGCGCAGCTCCCGATGGAGGAGACAAAAGGTCTCGAAGTTTATCTCACCCGTTTAACCATCTTGCCTGACAAAAAGCTTAGGATGCCGACCCACGTCGAACGGTTACCCGATCTCTCTATCTTAACCGCTTCAACCTCACCATGCCCGACGCAAAGACCAAAATCCGCCCCCAGCAATCATGTCTCAAATGCCGTGAGCGCAAAGTGAAGGTATTTTCTCCCACCTTCTTCTCCCCGTCCTCTTCCGACTATTCGGCATCATTCCGATCCGCTCGCAAAAGCTCCAACCCACTAGCCCAAGTCCAAACACCCCAAGTCAAGTCAGATCAAGCACCACAAACCCCAATCTAACCCATTCTTCCGAATAAACAGTGCGATCGCTCTATCCCTTGCCACGCCTGCATAATCCGCGGCCTCGAAGCAGAATGCACATACCTCACTACAGCCGAAGACCGCGCCCACATCAGCCAAGCCGAGATTATCGATCAACTCCGCCGTGAAGTGGCCCAGTTGCGCGGGCGCCTGAATCAACCCCCGCGAGATCCCAGCCAGAGTCCCAGTCTGGGCAGTCGGTTGAGTCCGGGTTCCGATCGCGATCGGGATGGGGATGAGCGGAGACAACACACGCCGGGGTCAGGGTCCGGAGCTGGGGCTGGGGCTGGGGCTGCGCATGGATATTTGAATCAATCTCAGTCTCAGCAGGCGATTATGGGATATGGGCCTGCGTATGGATCGCGTGATGCGCAGGGGTTTCTTACTGGGCACGGACATGGACATGGTCATGATCCTGGGGAAGGGAGTTGGCGCGGGTCGTCCCCTTCGTCCACTATGACTAGTTCGGCGACCGTTATGAGTCCTGAGAGTACGGGGAGTGAGAATGGCTCGGGTTCGGGTCCAGGCTCTGGCTCTGGGTTTCCTGTTGCCACGGGGTATGTGCCGCAGGTTGCTGATGTGGATGGGTCGGGTGTATCGGGCGATGCGCTTGTCCTTGGACGTGAGTTTCTCCTATTTCCCTGTGGTTGAAGATTGTGTTGTTCTTTTAGAATTGAACTGACAAGTACTTACAGATTCACTAGAAGACCCGACCATGTCGGGCTGCTATGCAGGCAATCTTGGAGCGTCCTTTTCTCCGGGTGATATGTCCGGCGTCGTCCCAATGACGGGTCTACCGCCGAGCGGGATACCTACGAAAGATGGGCTTGCTGGTTTACATGCGCCAATATACAGAGCTGACGGGGTCGAGTATCTTATGAGTGACGGGGCTGAAACTCACCCGCGCTATCCCGACCAGAGCGTCAACTATCCCATATCATCGACACAATATGGAGAGGAAGACAGGCCTGCATTTCCTCAATGGGGAGATGTATACAGCCAGCAACAAGGCCAATTGCAACAAGGTTATCCGCATCAAACCCCGTCTCATTCTTCTACCAACACCTTTGCCAACATCTCGAATATCCACACAGCCATCACCAATCGGAATCCCTATACTGATGCACCACCGTTTCCTCTCCCAACACCAACCCCTGCAATAGCGGCCGATCCTTCCAATTTTCCCAATCCCACTTCCCAACATATCCCCTCCCCAGCTATCACGAACCACATCCCGAACTCCTGGAAAGGACAGGGAAAGCAGGAGCTCCTGGAGACGCTCCTGGAGACGATTGGCAGCTGCGACGAGCAGAGCGTCGCTCAGGTTGTACAAGTCGTCCGAACGAGCGCGTCACCCGAAGAGGCCGTTTCTGGGATCTGTCGTGTTCTGGGGATTGGGAATGGGCGGTGACGTGAAATAGCGTGATGAGATCCAGATCTGGGATTTTGGATCTCGTGCATCGGTCTCTTGAGTCTGCTGTGCGGATTGACATGGGATCAGATCAGACAGTGTTTGGTCCGGTCTCTTCAACGGGAGCCCCATTATATCCCTGTGTTGCTGGTCGATACAGGGACCAGCTGTGAAATTGGATTTGTCTGAGACGGATTCACCACATCACCCTAGACCTCAACTCATGTCCGTCTTATGGCTCATGTCTCATGTCTCATGTCTCATGCCTCCTCTCGCATCACGATCTTGTTCCACAGAACCGAAACGAAAATTCTAGTACATAGTAAACATCTATACATTAATCCTCAAGTGTCATCAATCATGATCGTCAGATGCAAGATAGTCGAAGATGTGGGTATCGTAGTCGCTATTTTATCGCAGCCAAGTCTCAACATTCATGGCGTATCGGAATTTCCGTTATTCTCGAAAGGTCGTTGCCCGTACACGTAGTGGAAGTGCACGTAGAGATGGAGCGAGGTGTTGACGATCTCGGCTCGCACCTTGTCCATGAACTCCTGCGTTTGCTGGTATGTAAACCCAAGCATGCGAGTAAACAGAGCGAGCGAGTAAGGCTCAACACCTTCAAGCATGGTAACTCTGCACAAACGACCCATCTCTTTCAAGCGCTGGTTCTTGGCCCATCCCCCGATGGGGCACTATATCAAGTTAGCAACGCTGCACATCGTCCCCATGTATAGGAAGTCACCTTATAAATATCATCAGTAACAGAGTCAAACCCCGCCTCAACCATCCACTGCCTAACAGACTTCGCAATATTAATAGGCCGTCCATGCTTCACACTAGCCTGCGCCAACAACGTCATGTAATCATTAACATTCCTCGCCTCCTCATGCGTCCCATCCTCCGACCTCACCCAGCACTCAAACTCCTGAACCTCAAACCAACCACCCGGCTTCAGCGACTGCCACCCCTGTCTAAGAAACCGTGGCCAATCCCCAATCCCGCCCCCATACTGCGCGCATGCACGTAGTCGAATTTCTCGGCAGGCCCAAAAGCCCACTCACTCTCCGCATCATCAATGAAGAACCGCACATTCGGCGGCGCCCAGTTCGGCTGGATGGGACTTAGATCTGTACCGATTATCTCGGTTGTTGGGTATGCCTCTGCCATTTCGAGGGCCCACACGCCTGTGCCGGTGCCGATGTCTAGTACGCGCTGTGGGGTGGTGGTGTTGTTGTTGTTGTTTATTGGGGCGCGGTGCAGGTCGCCGCCTACGACAAGTTTGAAGAGGTCGTGCAGTAGCGCTAGGCGTTCTTGTTCTTCTTCGTCGTTTGGGATTGGGTATTGGCCTGGTCGGTAGGCGTGGTACCGTCGACCATTTTCGTAGCTGTAGTCGTGTACTGAGGAGGCGAAGGAGAGGTTGGAGCCTACTATTGATTTTGTGTCGAAGAAGGACTCGTCATCGCTTGTCTGCGGGGTTTTTAGTTTTGGTATTGTGAATTTGGATGTGGATGTGGATGGGGTCGCGGTTGGTTTGCGGTGAAGGTGGCTCCGCTTGACTTACGTCGACTTGGATGCGTTCGTCGGGATTAGGTTGCGACATTTTGAGATGGAGAGAAGGGGAGGAGAGGGTGGGATCGAAGTAAAGAAGTAAAGTAGAGAAGTGAAGCTCAAATCCCGAGAGAAAGGATACCGGGAGGATTTCCCAGAGGAATGACCCCGCAGTGATCCGAGGGAATGGTACGGGTTTATTTATTTATTATTTATTTATTTGTAATAACTCTACTTTGGACTAACTATAATATATCATATTATATCATGCGATGCAATATATTATGTTACATTCCACTTAATGGATCTCCTAGTCTTGTTCCGCTATTGCTATGGAGTCAACTGTAGGCCTGTAAATAAATACACCAAATCTATTGTAAGCAAGGGAAAAAATAGTAAGAGCCCAAAAGAAAGAAAAAGCACAGAAAAGTGACAAACTAGCAAACAATATGGCAAAAAGAACAGGGGAAGGAAAAGGAACAAAAGGAAAACGCAAGTCGACCCAGCTCTCTGGGGCCCTTCGGGGACTCCACACGGGACGGGTAAGCCCTGGTCTGTTCCGACTGGGTCTGACAGGGGCGTCCAGAATTGGACCAAGAATGATCCAGGGTTTCTTTGTTCACGGTAACTTGGCATTCCTGGACTTGGGGTAACTATACGTCTTCTTAACTTTCTATTTCTGTCTCAATGCTTAATGATTGCCACTTTTTGGGCAGCTGCACATTGAGTAGATTAAAACGCATCTGACCGCCCTCTATCAGAGCCACATCTGAGACATCTGGTTGTATAAGGGCATTAACTACATCCAGCATCATCTGTTAAGATCGTATCCCCCCCGGGTGTAATAATACATATATCACTCTTTATCCCGTCTGTTTTAAAACAGTACACTCGACTTGGTTTTTGTTGTCGCCTAAGACTAATATCGAAGTGTTTGCAGACCTTCCAGGTCTTATACATATTGTTTCAGCCACAGTTTGAGAGCAGCTATTGTGAGGATAAAATGGACGTAAAAAAACTTATACCATGAGAGTGAGTCCCCGTAGAGAACGGAATGTGCCTAAAAGGAGTTTATCATAAATACTAACGAGTAAATAACAGCCTCTGTCGATGGAGACTGCCTCTGCACCCTCATTGCCACGACCAAAGCCTACTGTCGACAGATTCGTATTGCAACCTGAGATGTTTCAAACAGAGTCTCCTGGGGCCGTAGCGTGACCCGAAGTCTGTGGTTAAATAGCACGAATGGACGGAAGATTCGACGCAGAGGCATTTTACCAAATGGCTCAGTCCGGAACCCTTCACGCCCCGGGCTTCGATCATGCCATCAAGGGCCCCGTAGCCGACTAGATTTCTATTCGTCCAAGATCGAGAGTTGTGATTTTCGAGGGGCTGTATCTTAACTTGTGCTGTGGAGTCTGGCTGTTGGTCTTATGGATGAGACTTGGTTTATTGAAATTGATCGTGAGATTGCTCGAGGTCGGCTTGTTCAACATCATGTGGCATCGGGTAATGTGCCTGATGCTGCGGCTGCTGAGCATCGCATTTCTAGCACTGACTTTTGAATGTAAGGATATTTTGGAAAACTGATTGTCGTTGCAGTAACTGGTGCCAGGTCTCTAGGGATGTTGCATAGGTCTTCAAGAAAGCATGTAACAGAAGTTTTCACGGGTCCATCGATGGCAATTGTATCTGTGATGACCACAAAGGGGCCTTTTCTCTTCACTATAATGGAGATTGAATTCTATCCCCTACTCCTGGCTCTGGATTCATATGCAGACTAACATTATACTATTGCTACTAGTATTGTCTAGCAGTATAGATATTTGATGTTGGCTAGTTTACCTTGGAAAGTTTTCGAAAGCTCGGCATTAAGATCGCGGTAATGATACAGTACATATAAAACAGTTTTTTATCTTTAAATCTCATCATAGTTTGGGGGCGGATTGCCAAGGCGTGCATGTATGCCCGACCAAAGCAGGGCCATCCCAAACGGGCCTCATGCTTCACCCGACACATCGGTAGCTTTGTCTATGATTGTTAATATACTTCCCACCGTAACTTTAGCAAGGATATAATCAATCATCAGTAATTCTCATTTGTCAAAGGACCTTCTAAGCCATGCACACCGCAGTAAACGTGAACGTGGCAAGCTGAAAAAGAAAGCCTTGGAATGTTCCCTGCATGCAGAACCAGAACCAATGGCCCGGGTTCAGGCCAAGCCACCCGGAGGTTCAGGGTCAGGGTTCAGGGTTCAGGGTTCACACAGCTACATGTATACGCCTTATTCCGTACCAGGTTACAGTTACAGTACAGGTACAGGAAAAACAACCCCAAGCGGGTGGAGAAACCCGGTCCCAAATGTATGCCTACACAAGCCATGTACATGCACTCGTATATTTTAAACCCACCCATGCATCCATCATTAACATCCAAACCCCAGCCCGACAAACTCGGGGTAGTCGGACCGGGACATAACGCTCGACAAGGCTGACTGATTACAGGCTCTGTAGCTTGACCTGCTCATCAGGCGTCAAGGCAGCATACACTTCTTGGAATCCGGGCTGCGTAGAAGCCTGTCTAAAGAACTCCGTAAGGAAACCCTGCGTCTCATCATCGCGTTTCCGCACACCGAATACACTCTCGGAACCGCCCTCGCCGAAACTCATCAGCTGCTGCTTCGTCACGCCGAGACCGAGGTCGAGTGTTTGTCCGGGCAAATCCTCCCAGTCATCGTCGCCATCATCGCTGTCGGCATCGTCGAGGGCAGCAGCGGTCGCGGCGTCGATTTCCTTGTTGCCTGATGCAGCGGCGAGTTCTTCAACGAGGACCTTGATGATTTTCAGCGGTGCTGGGACTGTCGTGTACCGGTCTGGGTTGTTGCGAGCTTGCGAGCGGGTCTTGATGCGGCCCGTGTCTTGGATGATTAGATCGCCTTTTACGGGGACTTCGGCTATGCGTGGGTCGGCGAGCTCGTACAACCGTGCTAGGGCGAAGGTGTTCTGCTTGATCTCGTCGTAGCCAGCGAAGTTGACGGAGTTCTCGAGCCATTTGCTGAGCACGACTGTGAGGCCGCTCTGGCCGCCCAGGTTGACTTGTGCAAGGAAGTCGACGACTTCGCGGGCGCTAATGAGGGTCAGACGGGCAAAGACGAGAATAAGACTCTGGATGAACTGGGCTTTCTGTGCTGAGGCCAGTCGCTGGGCCACGGCTTGGAGAAGCTGGGGTAGGTAGGGGCCTAGACGTTCTGAGCCGGCTTTTTCGACTAGCTCTGCAGCCAGCTGGCCAACCTCTGTCGCGGCATTGTCGTCAACGGCCGGGCCGAGCAGTCTGTCGATGATGACCAACACAACTTCAAGCGCTTCCTTGCCGGATTGGGGGTCACGCCAGGAAACGAATTGGGCAAAGTCGTGGGAAAGCATGTGTCGCACGGCCTCGGTAGCAGGCCG